AGCAACCGGAGGATTGAAATATCAGTCAGTCCTCTTCCAGAGCAAGTCAGAATGCATACGCTCCTCTGCCAAAATTTGAAGGCATTCTTTTAATTCTCGTCGAGTTTGTTCAAATTTGATTAATAATCGCAGCACCTCTCTTGGATAGACTCTATCAACAAACATCATTAGTGCCATGAAAAACCAGTCATTAGTAAGCTACATACCATGTTCAGATAGCAAGCTCTCAATTTTAGATAATTAAAGTCACAACCATGGTGCTTTTCGAAACTTCCACCTTGCTTTACCATTATAGAAGTAACAACTATCCATCTGATAAGCACTAGTTTCAATTCTCTATGTAGACCAATAGTAGTGGTAGCACTAGTTGTTGAATATGACAGGGGTTCCTGCTTCTGGGAGGAACACTGATTCTCATCACCCATATCACAACCATACCACATATCAGTAAACAAAATCCTTTTCGAACTGTTGCTGTCACCTGTGTAGCATCAGCTTATCCTTCTAACTTACGATGATACTATAAAACCAAACCTGTAATTGTACGCTTCGATGACGATGTGATAGGGTGTTTTGTGGAACTGTCTTTAAACTAAACAAAAACAGATAATGGTAGATCTATCGTCAAAGGTTTCAACATTTGTTGTGGGGAGTACGTTACCTCGATTTTTGTACTTGTTTCTGGAAAAAAAAGCATCTTAATCTCTTTCCCAAACACTATGCTTTGGGCAGATCGAATATTTTTTGTGAAAGCCGAATGTGACTTTTTGATCTTGAGCAATCCTGTCCTTAATGAACAATTACTTACTTTCTTACACATCTGAATATCTTCTAGAACGAACTATTTCTTGATTAATCTTACTGTCAGCATACTTCATAACTGAAATATCTACCATTTCACAAAATACTCTGTAATGCATAGAAGCACAAACAAGCTGACATTGACATGAAAATGTAGTCTCAAATAAAGTACCAAGTCGCTCATACTTACCGTAAAACACCAAAAACAAATACGTTGTAGGCTTTTTACAGTGCGGTATAGTTTATTGCGGAAAAGGTTGCCAGTACCTATCATAACTGTGACATTTTTACAAAATTCAAAAGGCTAATAACCCTGTTACTAGAATCTGAGAAGCTCCAACTATTCCTTGAACTCCCACCCATCATTGAAACACTTTATTATGAACCGCCTAATATCTAGACGGAACAAGAATATAACGAGCCCCATTGCTATTATTATGAATATAACTAAATTACAGAACATATGATTTATCCTTTCCTATTGTTAATTGTTTATTAATCATGGCCTTATGCTCCTAACACTCACTTTCAGTTCCCAAATCTCTCTACAAGTTAAATACATATTATTCCTTCTAAGTGTAGTGCCTTTTTATTTCTATTGCAAGTAGACAGATAACTCACTAATCTTATGGACGCTGATCTACTAAGGCCGATCATACAAAATTGGTCGTAAAGTCTTGTGAGTTGCTCAATGTTTTATTTTTCTTACCCTAAGATTTTTTTCTACAGTTATGTACTCTTTCATATCCTATGATTTAGTATTAGTCCTTACTTTCTTTAAACCATTAGTTGTCTTCATAGTAGTTTGATACACTAAATGGACATCTAACCCATAATACAAATTCTTTATCTGATTTGCCTGTAACATGGAACTAGTAGAGAGAGTGTATTCCGGCCATGGGCTTTAATTAGAGCATTATTCATACTTACTACAAACGTAAGAGAGCCCAACATCACATAAAGAGGGAGGGTGGAGTCACTGACCAGCAAACATGATGATGAGGAGATAACTTCAATCCACCCAAGTCTGTAGGGCAGAACATTGTGATTAATTACGGCTCCTTATGGTCTAGTGGAATGTCATGATCTAGTGGTATTGATGATCATTTATAGTGTAATGTACCTCATTAAATCGTGATAGAATGCTGAATTGGTTTCACTTCCTACAGAGTAATCCTATCACAAGCAAATTGGAAATTTCGATAAAAATGAAGATTTCTCAAGACCCTATAAAATCTAGAAAAATGGGCCGAAATAGCTTCGAGAAAAAAGAGAAAGCCATTTATGTATCAGAATACTGTTTTCAGCACTATATTTTATAACTGTACATAATCCCATACTTTCAGCGTCTTTCTGAACCACATTCATTTATACAGTTCTTCACCCATCTATGCCTTGTTTACACTTATTTTCTCTAACATATTAGAATGCCCGTGCTTCATGTAACGAACTGTTACTTGATAATAAATTGTTATAATTATTACTACTATGGATTCTTATAAGGTCACGCCTATCCTTGTTTGTTGTATGTTTGCTCAGAGCGTATAAAATGTGCACCAGTCGAACTAAGAAAAGGGAAGCATATGACTCCAACGAAAGGAACCGTATTAATCCCCAACAGTATATCCAAACTGACGAAAAAGAATCAACACGCGGATATGAGAGCCAGAACGTCAGCTCACAGACCAATGCAATTGCTGATTGTTGTTAATACCCCAGTATCCGGTAATAAAAAGTAGCAGTGGATGGGTTTTGGGCAGGGAAATGACAACAAATATGAAGATGAGGGAAAAAGACGATTGACAAAACTCCCTGATTTCACTTTGCCTTCCAGTTACGGAGAGTAGGAAATCAGAAAAGAGGGCAGCGAGTGAACAAAAAGGTGGGTAAATACTGGACAATGCTGAAAAACCCTACTACTATGGCCAAAACACTCCATCCCTATAAATGACAAAGCGTAGCATAAAACAGACTTACTCCATTGAGTGTAATTTTAGGCTTAGCACACGATTCAGAAGAAAACTCACGGACATTTTTGAGACTATCCGTTACGTGATCCTCTCAAATGCAAGTTAGACACGTGGAACTGTGGGTTGTTAAAGATCTCGCTAGATCGTCAATCTTACAAGAATTAAACAGTGAAGCTGTTTAAAGAGCACCTAAACAAGTGGTTGGTATTTGTGATAAAGTTCGCGAATACGATATGCAACAGCAGCGTTAGCCATCACGTGGCACATGTCTTCACACCACTGCTATAATTGGCGTGTCCATACAACCTCGTTTGTTACACCACACGGCCACTGAGTCTTCGTACTTGATTCCTGTGAACTACAGAAACCAAGAGAGCCTAACTGAAGTAATTCAGACATTGTACAGCACGAAAAATACCCTCCGCAGTAACATCATATATTGTGAGAACCAATCTATATCGGTAGGGCGAAGGCAGAAATGCCCAGTAAAATGCACTTCTATATTGGTTCAATTTAATCAACATATCACAGTGCATCGCACAAAGGCCACGGTCCCGTTAGAGGAACACTCTATACAGATACGACACCTACAGCGACCAGTCCCTACGGAACTGGCCAGCCCTATTTAGACAACGATCTCTACAAATAGCAGGAGGCAGATTCTGATGTAGGAGAGAACGAAGTGATGAGACAAACCATCATGTGCCTATACGGCAGCGTAAGAGAACCAGTGGTAAACTAAGGGAAATCAAAAACACGTGCTTTCAGTTAGACCCGAAGATCGTAGTCCCCACTGAAAAGTGGCTATCGCATGAAACTTCTCCGAGGAGGTAGAGTACGCAAAACAGTGGGTGGAGTGGCAATATACATTAACAGTCATATCAAAGACGTACCTCCACACAGAATCAAATTGACCAACGTGACAGAATCGTGCTCTTAGCTCTTCCATTTGAACTCTTCAAAGTACTTAATTAAAGAAACATATCGACAACTCACATGTTATAACAACCGGAACGATATCACAATCGATACTAAAACATCCACACCCGACGGTTGACCAAAACACTACTGGCACGTGACGTCACTGCTGAAATCACAGCAAGCAGGAGACGATATTTTCATGGTGGTGTACCATGCCGCTTTTTGAATTGTTGTTTAGTCCGTTTATTCTTAAACAGACTGATTCTAGGTTTTGATTTCATCCGTTCTAATGGTATTCTAATTTTCCTTCCAAACATAGCTTCTGCTAGGCTTTCTTGATTATTCGTATTCATATTATTCATATTCATATATATTGCTGGGTTTGACTTCACGCGTTCACATTCGACGTTAGACACCATAATATCCGTTATCTGCTGGAAAATTGCTGGCTTATCACCAAACGGTAATCGGTTAAGTCGATAGAGTCCACGGTGGGTATTAATGGTTTATAACCCCTTTGAATATTTGTCAACTTCCACTTGTAAGTAGACTTCAAACAAATGATGTTTAGCAAAACAACACACACCGCATAATTCAACAAATAAATCCTATGGCAAAGGTAGTGGATATGCATTATTTTGTAAAACATCGTTTTATCCTGTTGAAAAATCTGCACAAAGGCAAATAGCTCCGTTTGCTTTCTGAACTACCTCAATTGATGCTGTCCGTGCTGAAGTTGCATAACACCGAGCTTTTCTAGTCGGTCTAATTCTCTGTCAACTTTGTCAACAGCTGCATTCGAATAATCGCTTTACTATTCTTCACACTAAGACCAACTAGCCCCCTAACTGGTAATACAATAACTTCTGTTATCCGAAACCTCACTCGTTAGTTTGAACTTTAAAAGACACAAATCTACAAGCAACTACCAAACTCATCAGAATTACTGCAATAGAGTGGCTAGGATGCCATACGTTGGACGTTACGAAATAGCTGTAACTGTACTAGAACGACGAGAGGGAAGCTCAGCGAAATTAATCAGCTTATGCGAAATCGCGACAGAGATATCAGAGAGATAAACGTGCTGAAACTCGACAAACAAAACCCCATTATTTGGGATTTACTTTACGTATCGATGTGATAACATAAAGACATATTAAACTGGATTTACTCCAAATATTTATATACATGCGACTTTTTTATTTTTGTGATTACTTTCCATTCTCTCTTCTTATGATGTACTGGGTAAACATCTCGATCATATATTTGGTCACATAATTATAAATATAGTATTAGGAGTATTACAGTAATTTTTCCAGATAGGAGGAACTCGATTATTCTGCTAAAGTAAGGATGGATGAAGGACAAACTTTCGCTGAAAACAATCTAAGCCAGACAGAAACTAATGTTTCGTGCACAACCATTTGAACTTATTAGTTTGGCGTTGCTAATGGGCCTGAAAGAGCGTGTTTCAAACTTGAAGGTCGTTTTTGTATGCAGACTGTGGAGAATGCCGCTACCTAACCTAGATTCTTTGAAAAACATCGCCGTCGGAAAAGATAACGCAAATAAACAACAAGTATTCAATCATATTCATTTCTAAAATTATTAGATTGTGCATATTTTGAAGGGAATTACGGATCAGGAAGTCCCACCAAAGCAAAAACATATTCGTGGAATTATTTTAGCTACATTCAGTGGAAAGTCTTCGTCGTTTTTTTATGAGACTGCACTTAAACTCGCCATATACACCAATCCTGTAGTCTGCTGGAAGTTTCTGTATGTTATCCATAAATTGTTCCGAGATGGGCATCGTGAGGTATTGTATAACAATACAACCGATTAATGCATTTATACCATATTTTAGTGCGTAAGTGACGGACTACGTCACGCAACCAGAGTTTCCCAGTTGCAGTCTGCCTGGGTAAATTTTAGCTAATAAGTCTAGTATAATTTAGAGTAATCACGCGACAAAGTGTGGATATCCGATCGTAGACTTTTGTCAACTGATAACCCGTAAAATCAGCCTGCACAGAAAAGTAACCATGTAAATTTAGTCGATCAAGATATTTTAGTATGGAGTATTACCTGGAAGTCTGGAGCTAACTCCCAGTGAGCTGAAGAGTTGTCTTTCTGCACAAGTAGACCACTTGTAAGTCATTTTAGCACTAAACTTATTTTTTCCACTAATAAATTACCTTCATGGCAGAAAATGGTTCATATCTAAGTAACTCTTGAACTAATGTTTTATGATTATATTCATAAAACATATGTTATTACAATGACCTAACTAAGAATTAATTTGATCAAGATACCAGGTTTCGTGTTATACAACCATTTTTTTTGCCTGGAAGCTTGCTTTTACAACAACCTCATAAGAGCGAGCCATAGCTTTCCAAATATTTTTTCGTGGTACCTGATTGTTGAAGATGTTCCAGATATTCTAACAACCTAATCTTTTCTATTACTACTCATACTGTTATTACTCTTACTTTCCTGGGATTTGTCTTGCTGTGGTAATGTGAAATGAAAACTTGGGTGGATGCACGTGTGCCAGGTTTTGCCCTTTATGTAACTGGCTGACTGATTCATTTTGATAGCTTAAGCCAGTAACTACAGAATTTTATTCAAGTAAGAATATGTACCCGACCATATAACATCTCAACGTAGTGTTAAAGGTCAAGTAATAGTTTTAGGCTTTAAAAGTGCGTAACGAATAATGCTCTGGATATATCTGAGTATTTAGTCTTCTTTCCTGTGAAAAAAGGACTGAGAAGATAAAGGGTTTTATTGATAACTCAAAAACTGTTATTCAATTTGTCTTTAAGCCTAGTTTCTAAACCGTTCCGACCTTCAGCAGAAAATCTTGGAAACTTTCAACATAATTGTGTCTATATTTAAGACTGGAAAGAGTCTAAAATAACTTTGTTAATGTTTTTAGTGTAGGTTTTTAGCCTGTTAGTTTTTAACATACAGAGATTGATTCTCAAAATCTCTAGGGCGTCAGTCAGAAGGATTACGATTCTCTGTGCTTACCTACAGAGTTTTTCCCGTTGATTGACATCATGTCGCAGTTTCTGTGAAGCTTTCTTCACTATTTTCCCCTATGTAGCCATTCCTACTAGATGTGGAGCGGCTTAGCATACATATTTTATGTAACAGCTACAAACTATGAGATAAAAGTATTTAATACCAAACTTGTAGTTTGTTCTGGCATTCAAACTCACTTATGTAACCTTTGACTTGATTTTCAAACAACTTAGTATTTTGGGAGTCTAGTGGTAGTTGAGGATTAAAAAAATAATTTAACCGATTTTACTGAACCCGATATTGATCCGGTGATATACCTCAAAGCTATCAGTTGTCTAATAAAACTTTCTCGCTAGTACTTAGTAGTAAGGACATACACCACATCAGACGATCCGATTGTTGTTTTATCAGTTTGGTTCTACCTGAAATGATGACCGCTTAAAGTTCCACTTTTACTAATATATAAGTATGTAAATAAACATCTTACGGTTTGTTTCGTTTTTGTTATCAGGATTCAGGGTTTCATGAATAAAGTTACTGTGTTCCTTTTCTTAAGATTTCAATTTAGTGTCGATCTCATGGATATGCTAGAAGAAACATTGCGCTTCAAAGATGTTGTGCTTCTTTCTTTGGAGGGTATTCAAGCCGCTTCATTCACTCCTTCTGGTCAATGTAAACTTATTCCACTCATCCAATGTATTCAAGATGCTGCAGCACTCTATGAACTAAGCGTTCAAGTCATCTTTAAGTTACACGAGTTATTAGGCAATGGAACAATGTCCGGTCACAGAGAACGCTTCAGAGATCTCCACATTTCTGTCAAGAAATTTTTTGAAAATGTATCCCACATGCAATATTTCCGTTCATTTGTTCACATACCTTCAATATCCCAGGTTTGTTATTGACATTTAGTTTTCAAAACGTATTTCATTACTTAGGCATTTGTTTGTACTACTTTGCATTTTAATTTGTCAAAATGCTAACCCCTTTGTTATTGATAGTAATGGTAGTATTAACCAAAATCTTAAGTGACCGATAACAAAAGTTTTTAGTTTCGGACTTCACTAGCTTGTTTAATATTGGTGGGTGTTTCTACAATTTTTTTGAGCGTTATTACTGAAGTTTCCTTTAATTTACTTTTTTTTCTAATTTTCAATTAAATAAATCTTCATAATCTTTTTCGCAAGTACGAAATGGAGGTGTCAGTCGATCATTTTACTAGCAATAGGTCCAACCATGACATATTTTTGTTGAACTGTTTAGTATAATATATTGTTACGTAAAAAGATTTCATTTTTAACAATATAGTATAAACGTTGGTCTCTTTTGGAGTTAGTGACACTATTCATCCAGTTTTATAATGGGACTAACATCGATAAAATGTGAAACCCAATACGACAGTACACCCTATCAGCCTTTACTTCAGTACGCCATAGTAAAGGTAATTCAAGAATGTCGAGGAAAAGGTCTGATAGAAGGTACGATCCGAAATATATAGATATTCAGAAATAAGTTATTCTCTGTTTGCACCTCAACAGGAGGTTAATACCATTTTTCAACCTTTAATGGTGCTTTTCATCAACACCCACTTTCTACATTGTAAAGCTCCAGGCTAGATAGCTTCATTAATTGGTTCAACTATGTACAAGAAATGCTTCAGAGACACGGGTAACCAAGTGCGTGTGATCTTTTTAGGGAATTTGTTTTTGGTGGCTTATTCTGATAGTTTTCTAATTTAAGTGAACTGATTATTTTATGCTATGCTTGCTATGTAGTGTTGGGAATTTCACTTTAAAAACCTAATATGGCATTCAGTTCAACTGATTTAATAAAATTGTCCTACCAGTCTGAACTGACTAAAATATTCGGCACATAGGGTCCGACGTTTTTTTATAAATTCTATGAAGGATTTGGCTTTCATACATTCTATAACTTACCTTATTTGTCGTTATAGACGGTAAACTGTTACACCTAACGTACATTAATGTTAGTCTACCACGTATATAAGCCTTTTTATGCCTTATAAATTTCAGTTGATGAGAGTTCATCGATCACTCATGGATAACGTACGGTCTGGCACAAGTATGTATTGGTTCAAGTGTACATACTTCATTTCTGGATGGCTAGAGAGTAAATAAACTGGGCACAAGATAAGAAAATGAAATTATAGTGAAAATTCCCATTATGCCATTTGGTAAATAAAGAAGGAACGAATTGAGCGAAGAAATTTCTTTTCAATTAGTTTTTCATCATGGCTCTACACTAATATATATACGTTTTACAATAATAATATAATACTCATCGAGTGGATACGTTACGTAATAATTACATAATGACATTTAAATTAACATTAATTAATTGGAAGAAAGAGGATTATTAATATTCAAAGTGATCAAGAAGTTGCTAAGTTGCGTAATGTAAGAAACAAAGAAGGAACAGAATTTTAACGGATGGTCAATAGGATGGTAGTTACGTAAGAATCAAGAGATGAATGTTGAGAAGTTATAAGGCTCAAAAGTGATAGAAACAAAATTACAAAAATTTTAAAATAAATAAAATAAAATGGAAGAAGTATGGAAATGTTATACTGAAGGCCAGGGGAGAGAAAGTGGTTGTACGAATTTCTTTTGGATGCAAAGGTCAGGTTTGTGAAGATGGATTGCGATGGCTTCCGCAATGTGCAAAAGGCGCACTCGTAAACCAGGTGGTAGATTTGATGGAATATTGTAGATAACCTTAAAAGCTTTATTCACTTCGACTTGATGACCTGTGTCAACCAAGTGAGAGAGAATAGAACTTTTAATCACTTTCACCTGTCCTTTGCTTAGCCATGTTGGATGATGTTCAGTAATGCGGTGACGGACTTGCCGAATCGTACGCCCAATATAACTGGCTCCACAGGAGCAGTTGAAACGATAGATACACATAGATTTGGCGAATTCTGGCAGTCTGTCTTTAGTGGATGTTCTTATTTTCGGTTGGTTGTAGAAGATGACATTTAATTTGGCAGCATTAAATGTTTTTTGTACCGCTCTTCTTAGTTTCTGAGTCATGACTTCTTCAATCGAGTCATTTATGAATTGTAGTTAACTTTGGTTTGTTAGTCAACATAAGACTTTCTACTAACAGCAGACTATTTATATACCTTATAGTTTTCTTATCCGCCTGCTGTATTTAGTGATTCATCATAGTTTGTGGTTTAATAATTTAAATTTATGAATGAGTGCTTCATAAATGAGTCATTTTCATACAAAAATTTTACAGTAAGTCTTATTGGTTTTGTTATCATATAACAGAAAACTCGTGACTTTTAGACCATAAAGTATGACCGAATTTATGTAGCGGGACTTCATTGCTTGCATATAAACTAGCTATGGGTGGTTGAAGTCGTTGTGAGATGTAAGAAATACCGTTTATTCAGCTATACTTGAAAACATTAATAATAGAAATGCCTCTTATAATTAACGCATAAAGAGTGGTAAAACATCAAAGCGAATATAATACCAAATTATATGATGAAAGGTGAAGATTTGTGGCAAGATGTGGAGTAAAATGTATTTGAACCTGTTTCACTAATAAAAGTTTCTACTCAGTTTTTTAAAAACTTATAACCATCGATTTTTGTTTTTTTCTAAAATTCAATCAAGAGTTCTAGGATTCTCCATATGGCTACACATATATCTCATAATAATAATAATAACTTACCCTCTTCTCTTCTGTTGCTCTTATTTACTTCAACCAATATTTTATGTCAACCTTATTGATTTACTTGATTCTTATTCTTCTATTACAATTACTCAGTATTCTTGCTTGACACTTTTTTAATCCATGTACAAATATATTTGTTTTTATGTTTGTCTATAGAATCCGCCGAATTTTTGTGTTCAGTCAGAACTGAGTGAACATACTACACTTAGAGTTACGATGAATGAATCACAATCATTATCTCCACCACTGCCACCATCTTCACTGTTATCGACGGCAGTACTAGTGGATGAACGGAACAGTCCACATTCAGGTGATGAAGAAGATTCTTGTGAATTAACCATTGTACCTAAAGTTATGTCACAAATTCGTCCAACTAAATTATCAACTGAAAAACAGACACTAATTAAATTAGGTTCTGAAAATACGGATGTAAATGAGAAGACGGTTATGTTGTCAAAAGAAGTGAAAATGGTGAGAAATTCTTATTTTGTAAAACAAGAACAACAAACATTAATGGGTAAACAAATTTATTTATGTAAATCAGTTGGTATGCGGAAAATTTGTAGCTTTCTAAATGAAATGAATTCACTTCATCCTGAAATGCTTGTTGTTTCTGTTTAACAAGAGTTTTATTTATTATCTGAAAATTTTCACTCATATTTTCCAAAATTAACCATTTTATATTTGACCGTAAGCACAATGGTGCTAATTTATTTCTTACTAACTTGCTCATAAGCTGCCACACGAAAAAGAATGATGATGAGAATGTGAAATTTACTGTTAATTTGACTATTTTTTGCATTCTCTCTTTTGTACATGATGTCAGTTTCTGTCCTAAAATAAATGAAAATCAGAGAGCTCTACACAACCGTTGTGCTTCAATCTAATGTTCTGAAGTACTACTTTACTGAGTTCTTTTCTTTTATCAACTATGGTGCTTTCAGGTTCTGTAGTGTATACATTAGTACCAAACTATTGTATTTTAGTCTAAAACTCGGTATCTTCTAATTTTTATTATTTTATGGGAAAATCATTCGTTTGTTTACGGATATAGCTTTCAGTTATTGATTCATTGCTTTGTATATTCTATTACTTAGTTTAGTCATTCTAATCACTTCGCTTCATTAGCTATTGTATAACATGTGTATCTAGTGATAGAATACCTCAATTTGAACTGAATTAGTGTGTGGATCGTATTATATTGTCCTTCATTGCTACTGGTACGGGTTTGTTCTTATCACTAAAAGTGGTCACTAATCTAGTTTTTAGTAAGGCATTCAGAAGTAATTTGATATGTAAATTCATAGGTGGGCCCACTGTTCATTACTTTCAAGGCATGTACTAGTGGTAATCCATACCATTGCCTTAATTAATGGACCATTTATCTAGGTTTCATCAAATTATCTAATCTTTCATTATTGTTGACAGTACTCATTTAAACTTAGTTGGTTCAAAATGTTATAAAAATAATCTAAGTCATCTTGAGTAAAATGTTCTCTGGCTGGTGGATAATAAATTGGAATACACGTAGTAGCTCTACGGCACCTTATGATTTAAAAAGTTACTAAAATGTAGAAAATACACGACTTTTCTTTACGATTTGTAGACTTTTTAGCTTCACACACAAAGCATAATTTCACATAAACTTCCTTAATTGATTAAATGAATGAAAAAATTATCATGCAGTTTACCAATCGGTGTTAGATAACAGAATTTTCATTGTCTGTTGTTAACAACTACAATTGTTATTTTTCATTTAAACCAATCTATCTAAGATCATACAAAAGTTATATTTGTTTCTTTAAATCGCTTATGGATGATAAGCGTCTAAATTCTAGGATACGATGTAACCATTAAGTTCATTTTTTGCTTTTGTAATGTTATTGGCTGTAAATTTACAACAAAAGATTGATTTTACGTTCAAAAATAACTCATCCGTTGATTTCTTTAAGAACTGGGGGACCATGAAATTATACCGGAAAGTGTAGTGTATCCTTAGCATAAAAGATGGTAGTTATCAGTATTTATTGACGAATAACTGATGTTTAACTTGGTTATTTGTATGTAATTTGTTGGAATGAGATGTTTGATCTTAAGGTAATTTACATCATGGACTAATTTTAACTAGGTGACCATGGAAAACCAGACAATACTGGACAGCTAATTCGTCCTGATACCGATCTTACCAAAAGTAAGCTTCAGCTATTAAACGACAGAGCCCGCAGTTCACGCGTTTCCTCTAGATCACTGAGGTAGAATCCACTGTCTTATAATTCCAGTGCCAATCAATTTACGACAGACCACGATCCTTAGTCAGCGTCATCAGTGAGTGAATTCTAAGGAGTCCCATACTACAAAAAATAACCATCTATTACTTCCTAATTTTCAGTAATTTCCTAAGTTTTACCTGATAGCTAAACTGCATACAACTTATAATTTTAATGAATTTTTACTTTTATATCAACGTTCAGGATCCAAGTGTCAATGATAAACATCACCATATTAATAATAATAATAATAGTAATACTATTGATAATAATAATTTGAAAATGAATTGGAACCCATTTTTGGATAATTCAATCCAAACAAATAACCATGTACTGTCACCTTATCATACTCATGTAACGGATGAAAAGTAAGTGAATAGTATCTTTTTTTTCGAAATAATTGATTTCACAAATTTCCTTTTAATTTACAGAAAATAATTTTAATGAATCCATAACAACAATTAAGGCAGAATAACATTAATTTGTTTTATTTCGTGGTTTCGTCTCAGCTGCCTACACCTGTATTGGTGTTAAAATGTAGCATTGAACTATAATACGATATGAAATTATGGATACTGGTGACAGAAATAATTAAAACAATGATTGTCTGTTATATATATGGATAAACATGTGTGAGGTCATTTTAACATGGAACTAAAAAAAATAGAGATGAGGTAGTATGTAGAATCTGGAAACCAAAAAATGAATTGTGTAGTAATTATAGGAGATTTTAAGAGTTGACATAAGCTTTGAGAATTAGATTGGTGAAAGATGCAGATATGAATGAAAAGATAAATTTAGCATAAATGAAGTAGCACTTAGCTTACTGAAGATTGAATATCAAAATAAATAATAATAATAATAATGATAATAATTGATGGTAGTTTTAATCGAAAACATGAATTTACCGGGGCAAGTATAAATTAATAACTATCTTTTTCTAGACAGATAAATACAGTTTGAAATTTTTAATTGATACTATTTAGGCGAAACGTAAAGAAATGGGATCATTTTAAAGGATTGAGAAACGTCAATTATATTCCTGTTGTCAATTAAGTACCTAGTTATTGCATCTTTTAGTCTCCAACTATATAAAACGTGCTTGGAAATGCGAACATGTGTTCTTCTCTCTGTTCTTCCAACGTATGTGGTTTAAGACGTATATACTAACTAACAAGTACAGTTGAAGGAACTGAGAAAAGGGAACTTGTTGGTTTACTCATGTTTTAGGGAGGAGTTGATTTCACATGAGGTAGTTAGCCTTGCTGGTGTATAAGTAATCCTCATTGTAGCATCAGTTATTCAAATAATTTCCTCTTTTATGCGAAGATGTACAGAGCAAGTTCTGTTTTCTGTTGTGTCATGATTAGCAAGTTCGTTAGTTGCAGCGTGCTTCTCGACGGATTTCTGTGAGTATGAATTTTAATGTCAACTGTTGTTAATGACTGCAAACTCTTCTTCTAGTCTTTCGTTGGCTCATGGTTTATGAATACAGTCAAAAGGGTCCGTACTCTCTCTCCTTTATGACTTGTTGAACTAAAGCTGTTATGCTTAATATAAACTTCGCTCCATGTGCTTTTCCGATAGGTGAAGCTATATGAATCATTCTCACTTGAACTTCGTTAAATTTCAATTCCTAAGAAATGGATTTTTTCTTCATCCTTATACTCCATAGTAAATTCTATTTCCTGGTGTTGTTTGTCAGGAGGATTAAAATAGGCGTGTAGCATGCTTCAGAAATGTATCATCAACTAATTTTGTTGAGCACCCATAGGAAACCATAAGGCACCACATAATCTGTTTCTGTGATTTCCTGATCAGATACGCTAATGCACTTTGTTATAACCGCTAACCTAATCGGTCACTGATCACACTAAGCCTGTTTGGGTTTATTATTGTTTCCAAATCCATTTGCAAAAAGTAACGAATCATTTATGATTTTTTGGAAGTTAGTTCTTGATCAGTGGACGCGTTTCAGGTTTCACCTTTTCACTGGGTTATATCGTTGATTTGTAGAACATTAAGTGTAACTGGGGGCGTGGATTTATTTATGATGTTGCACTTATTCCTAGTTGATTTTGTGATCTCTCTAGATTATTTGGTATAGACTTGTTAACGTATACGTGAGTGATTTACATCTAGGTCAATATACAGCAGTTACATGATTATAACAGTAATTAAAGCGATCGACTGAACATCAGTTAACTTAGTTACTTACAACAGTTTCTTGTTTATTAAACTCTCACATATTTTAGAATCAGCTGTTTGACGACTACTAATTTCAATTAAAAAAACGGATAAAATTATTTAAAATAAGTATGAGAGTAGTCTTTATCTTTGTATGTAGTAAATTTATAGTGATATTATGACTTAGTTACAAAAGTTAAATTAAACTGTATTAGTTATCAATGTATAAATAAGATGTGATCTGTTAGATACGTAATCACTAACTACTTGAATGTACAATATTTACAATAATCGAACATTGTATTATTATCTAAATTCAACTTGAAGTTACTCTAGCCGATAAAATTTTATACCAGTTATTGAAATACTGAGTCAAATAAAATGTAAACAAAAAAACACAATAATAAATTATCGTTCTAACTCTGATATAATTTAAATTTTTATTTTTCAATTAATATACTTCCGATTTCTTTGAATTGTTTTAGAAAACAATGTGTACATAGATATTACATTTCAGTTGTCAAAATATCAAGAACTTGTTGTGAATCATGTTCTGTACATTTTGTGATGGAAGCTTTTTACTACGTATATATATATATATATATGGATGCCAATGATGAGTTGGATGCTATATAATAGAGGGTTCATATTTAATGAGATGGTTAAAACTGTTGACTGATAAATATTGTGTTGTTAAGGTAGTGTAGTAGTATGATTATTCTTGTGACTGAAAGTGGGACTCAAAACCGCATGCTGCAACATTTAATTGATTACTAAGTAATAATAATTCATATCGAATAATTAAATGGTTTGGAATAAAAGAAGAGTTTTATTTAACATCTACCCATCAATTAATAACTTTGTAGAGTTAAATATATTTAAATGAATAAGATGTTTTAGTGCTCTTGATAATAAAATAATTACAAGCATGTTTTATTAATTACAATATTGTCATCGCTGAAGTCGATAACTATATTGTGGTGCGTGCTACTTATATTGATATAAGTAGTATATTGTGCGAGTCAGGAATGTAATGTCTGGCAGCAGAAGATGAGGGAAGATCAAGAAAACAAGAGCGGGAATAGAATGGAATTTGTATGAAAATGTAAGAACAATGAAGTCTGAGGCATTTTGAGACAGTTGGTGGACATTTTGCAGATTAACGATTTGATATATAGTTCTCAGATTTTATTGAGATGCTCTGTAATTTCATGTCAAATACATCTGATTGTCACCACCGTGTTCTGTTAACTACAATATGGAAACAGTTGGTTTACATGGCTAGTTCACTTCCCATTTCATTTCTCACTTGGTGCGATGATATTATATATCGCTATGAAACATTTTGGACCGTACGGTTATTATACTTGATAACTAGTAAAAAGCCATTGTATCGTTCAATTACAATCCTGTACATCAATGGGAAGGTTCAAATAAACGATCCAATTTAAAAACGGTTCACATCAAGGACTGAATTTGTCCGGTTAATCATTATAAATCAGCAAACACTGGGACATCGCTTTGTCCTATCACGGAACGTTTGAGCCAATGCTCATGTACGCTCCTAGACCGAAAACCTGACTTCGTGGCTATAATAAAACCTTTAGATCACTGCGTTCTTATCTAGTAGTTCAAATATTATACTTTAGTTTAGTCGTGATATAAGAAAACCTCTACAGATCAGTCAGTCATAAACAACGTACAGCTTATCACAAATGTGCATTGGTTCAAGTTGTCATATTATTTTAGCACGATGAGGTGAAATTAACAGAATGAATAGCAGACTAATTAAAATGATGTGGTAGCAGTGATATGAGAAAGGGTAGACGTTGGTAGTGTTGCTCGGTATGACAGAGTTTAAAAGTTTGTACGAAGTAATATTGGAAATTAAGTTTTAGAATACGACAAAGATTAAATGCACCTGCACAACAATGACCATCTACTTTTCACTATAACCTCGAAAAGAATTCTTGAAGTGAATCGATAGTGAGCATAAGAGCATTATCGGTATTAGGATGACAAGTTTGTAGATGTCGTTCAGTTCACTGCTAAACTTTATATACTGAAAAGTGTTAACTTCAACACAGTTATTCGTAAACTGTTAATTTATTTTTAATTTTTAAATATATTTCAATCCGAGTTCGAACATTAGTGCTTTTTTTGATTCTCCAACTCTCGAATGGTTCACATTTTTTTACTTCTGTTAGTATTGTAAATCTAAAATCTATGTACTTCATTGTTTAATAAGCTTCGGAAAATCCCATTCCATCCATTTGTAGCTTACTTGAGGGGTCAAATACTTTAATTGTATATGTATATTTCATAAATTATGAAGTCGACACAAACACTTTGGTGATCATAACAAATACAAGCAGATATGGATTGGGCTAATATTTCAGGTTGATTAATTTAAACATTCCCACCTGTTTGCTTGATTGAACCAGGTTTTGCCTACTTAGAAGCCGAAAAGTGGTTATTTAAATCTCTATATGGGTTATACTTGAATACTCGGCATATTAAGAGAAGTGTTGAGTTTGTATCGAATCTTCAGAAGCTGTCTGTGTGGTGTTTCAAAGGCCATGATCAGATTAGTAACTTACGTACGCCTGTTGCCCCTAAGGGGAGCATAAACCGTCCACTAGGTTTCTCCAACCAACTATATTATGGGCTCTCCTTTCTAGTTGTTTCCAAGCGCTACATTATGCTAGACTTAAATTCTTGTTTTATAATAAACTACGGATTTGTCAACGTTTCACTAGACATGCTTGAATTATTTTCGAACAAGAAATTTTTTTCACCATTTCCTTATTTAGAAGGTATATGGGAAAATCGATGATTTTAGGTCAATAAAATAGTCGTAGCATATTCAGATGTCATGTATTGTCTGTAGGTCCTTAGATGATCAGTATTTATAGTTCATTGCTCAATAGTAACGAAAACGATTAGTATATGCTAACTTTTAAAACCACTGTCATGTTGAAGATTTTAACGGTTGATAGCTATCAAAGTTTGTGGAATATTTTTGAATTGTATTAAGAAGTGTACAGCTGTGTGTTAAGTTAAAATATACACATGCCTCATCGTTGGGATATTTTTGTGTACCATTATCGTACATCAAAACCGATTAAGTCAGTAGCAATGAAGGAAAATTTAAACACTCAATAATAGTTAATTGAAAGCCATGTTTAAAAATAGATCTTTATACCAGTAATTTTGAGGAATAGTGAATTACTTGGTAGCAGGTACAGTAACCTACTCTTAAAAATCATGTCATTTGATGATACTAAAAAACAAAAAAAACCCAAAATCGTGCAATCTTGTATGCACTAAGGACTGATCAACGTTTGAAGCTTATTTTTCACAAGAAGAATTGTCGCTATATAAACTTATTTTTCTTGACAACTAAAGAACATATGCTCAAATAAAATGATTTAAAAAAGGAGCATTGATGAAAATTTTGGAATAAATCTAAGATCTTACCTTGACAAATAACCCTGAATTGTACTGTGGTGAATAATCCCCATTATTATCGATATTTCTACTATTTGTTTACATTTCTGACGATCTATTTATTAGCTAATAGTTTCGTGAATTTCCACCAGATTTTGATTCAGTCGAAATCAAATACTTTGATTTCTTTATTTAGTATGGTTATTAAAGACTTTTAAGGTGTTCACTTGATAAAAATAAACAGAATATTACCCTAAATAATAATCAATATAAATTTATTAAAAAATCGATTTCCTTAGGTTACTGATATCAAAGTAAGTGTTCCTGTTAGATATCAGTTGTATATTCATAATGAGCATTTAATTAACTTCATAATAAAAGTGTATTCATAATCAAACTACATGTTTTTGCTTATATGGAAAATTTTCAAGGGTTAACAAATATCAGTCAAATTTTCTTTATCCACCATATAATTTCATTATTCATCAAATTGATAAGTGTATATGCATCAAAATTTATAAACAGTTTGCGTTATTTAACCTCCTTTAATTAGATTAGAATTGAGTTAACTAATTCCAATTTCTTAATATCCTTCTCTCATATTGTATACAATATTCAATGATTAATACACAGTACTCTTGAAGGATTTCATTTCAATAATTTCTTTATTTCTTAAGTTCAACTATTTATTCTTACGGTTCAAGGTTACTTTCTAAGAGAATAATTTTAATAAAAAAAGTAAATTTACTTTCAATAATGTTGTATTTTCTTAGTTGAATGATCTAAATGATAACAATTTCTGTTCTTAATGTAAATTGATGTTGTCCTAAATGACAACAGATGATTTACAGTTGAACTTAATAACTTTAAATACATCCATTCTCTAGGGTTTTTACTAGTAGAACTGTAGAAAACATCGTTTGGTATTCGGAAAATATTTTCCATCCTTTTAATAACACAAATAATAACTGACTGTACTTAGTTTACTCTGTATATTTTATCTACATTTTTTGTTACACGGACACTTTCATCCCACTATTTTATTCGAATATGTCATCAAATCATACAACTAGGTTTTGATCATTTTCTATATCTGACTGAATATTTGGAAATAAATGTGAAGTAGTCCTGACTTTCAACTGCCATTGGATTTCGGTATTGCACGACTTATTTTATGTTACCGTTGATTTGAAAACACTTTAATATATATATATATATATATATATATATATATATATATATATACTTTTAAAAATCTTATTTCATTCAGTACATAGATTATCATTGTTTAACTAAAATAATAATTTAGATCACATGTTGCTTTCATGTACTATATTGACAATTCATTTGGTACTATGAAGTATTTATCTAATCCAAAGTATTTCAGTATTGTGGTTTCGAATAGATTAATCCAAAGTAAACTCTCTGTTGTCATTTCATGCAATGGTCTCAATCCAAAAATTCCAATAAAGCAAGGATGACATGAATCCCAGTACACGGTGAATTGATTGTTTTTCATTATTCTCTGCTCTCAGTCTAGTATACATTGTTGGAACTATTTCACTTCAATTGTCACTGTATTATCTACTAATGATAACTGGTTCTTTTCGTCTTGGAATGAATAAATCGATAGATTTGACTGGGTTTTCATAATGACTTTCATTTTTTATGTTTACATCATTTCTTTTTCCCGACAAGTGATACTATATCTCTGTATTCTGTGGCGTCAGCCAAGGTTTGAAAGAGAAATTAAGCCAACAGTGAATGAGAATCGCGATGTGTCGAAAATTGATTGAAACTGAAATTTGATGCCATTGGACCCTGATTCAATATACTAAATATATTGTGACCGTTGGGGGGATTTGAAAATCTTCAATTGACCATAGGTGTGTACACAGTTGTATAGTTTCAAACTAGAACGGAAAAATGGCTCAGTACTCTCTAGTTTTACTCATCATCCAGCTGACATCAGTTTACGATGAAATTCACCATTGGAATATATAAAAACTTTCCATTAAACCTAATCTATTTAATAATCAATTTTTATTAGTCTACAATCTTTCAGTTCTTCATACCTTATATAAACGAAAGTCTTGATTATAATGTTTCATTATATAAATTAATAATTACGGTAGCGTGAGTTCATTCTATTTTACTAAAGATGATTATCATCTGAACATAAATAAAGTATATGAATTTCCGTCATCGTAACAGAGTTATAAATTCCTTAAATAGAATTGCTTGTTTGTCAACAGTTATGTTACCGTTGTTCAGTTAAGTAATTATATATTTTTCTGACGTTTCGTGACAATGTAAGCCACTTATTCAGAGTAAATAAATAATCGAAATAAGTTGATACAAACTTAAAGTATTATTAATCTGGAATAATGTTGTTCACTTGTACTCTTACTACTTTTCTCTCTGTGAATATATCGAGTATTCTTACTTATTTTACGTCGATAACTACTTTTTACATCAGTTCACTGGTAATCATTAGTGGTGTAGTGTATAGAGGAGAGTTTTTAGCGACATTATATATTATCTTGTCATCTACTTAATTATATTTGTGTGTATGTGTACGTCTTTTCGGTAGTTCTATTGTATATTTCAACTTTTCATTAATCTTCTTTACTATTTTAAAACACTGTTTTACTGATCTACGGTACAGATTAATATTTCGTTGTATTTTTTTCTCCACTTAATACTGTATAGTAAATACATAGCTGTATTGATAAATATCTAAACTGTAATTGAATTCTTATGATAATTATTTCAATTGTTTATATTGGTTGACCGTAATTCAACTATTATTCTTTGATAAACAAATTATTATTTTTTAACTTTGATACTTTGGTACAGTCACTTTAAAGTCTAACGATCTATCTAGATAGATATGTGTATATTTTCCGATACATTGAGTCAATTTAACAATTCCGTTTGAAGTTTATTTTCATGTTGATACATTGTGTTTATCAAATTTTAAACTTCATTTTCCTTGCGAAAATGATGAATATAATGATTATTAAGACATACGGAATGCAGTTGAGTAATTAAATACAATGGTTTAAGTCAAAAGTATTTGTATGAAAACTAGTATATGACTGCATAACTGTCCAAACTTTAGTTGATGAGAACATAGTGACAGATTAAATTGTTGAACGACAACTCCATGAGTTTTTGCATCCTGATTTGATTCGCCATCACTCTCTATCGTATAATTCATTTGTCAGCAATGCTTCATGAGGAATCCAAAACCACACGCTGTACATTGGAGATGTATTATGATTAAACATACATTATGATGTGGTTTAATTCCATATTTAATGTATTATAAACAAATGCTAAATAGCATTATTATAATTATTATAATTACAAAGTTCATAGATGATTGCATAAACTACTCAAAGTTACAAAAACGTTTGTGTTAACTTAATGATGTCATTGTTATAACGTTTTCAACCCTGTTAACCAGTTCAACACGATATATATTACTTTGGAATGAAATAAAACACCGTTTCATTATATAATTGCGTATTTTCTCACATTTTAATAAATAATCATCTTTTTCAGATCTCGAAATACTTGATGTTTTTGTTGTTCCTTTTATTACTTATTCATGACTTTATTTGATATGAAAATTAAATATACACAAATTCCTATTTTTTTCTACAATTAATTTAAAAAGGTAGTGATTCATTGTTTTCCCGATAAAAATTAATTTTTAGACATGAAGTACTCATTGAAGTGGAGTTGTTGAAGTCTGAAATAGAAAGATTAAAAGCAGAAGTAAGCAATATTTATACATTGATTTGTTAAAAGTTCTCTAAAAACTATAATGTTAAACTATGGAATTGTATCATTCTTAAAAGATTTTGAAAGTGACCAGTTAAAAAAAGGTAGTTGTACATTGATCATTTGATCTGTAGTCATCACGATTTTAACGACCGGCAATTTAGCTGAAAAATATACTGTAGATTATTTTAAAGAGTAAGGAATAACTGAAAACATTCAGTGCCATTATGGTTACTTTTCTTTAAAGATAAATAAGATGAACTGTTATTACTGTGTGTAATAATTTTGAAGTAGAAAATATATCATCAGGACCATGTTTTTTCTCGCTTTACTTGACTGTAAAATAAATGATGTAAAAGTATATATATAGGGCGACGATTATTCAATGGCACTGATGACTATTTCACTCTCGACATGTCTGAAGGTCCTTAGTTCGATTTCTGTTGGAGTCGTGAGTGTGCACTGGTAAGGATTCTCATACGAGAACAAAACACTTCCAATGCTTTCAGTGGTACGTGAATTGGGATCAGTCTATGAGGAGCGATATCTGTACATTCCGACCTTGAATGACTAGTGCTTTAAAAGTTCAAAAATTAATGAACAAAACATTTTTTTACTACTTCGTAGTTACGGTTAACTCAGTAATTTTTTTCTCATGTTGAATGTTTTCGTGGTATTTTCTTAATAAGAAAATCTTCTAGATATGAATGTTGGATTATTTACATCTCCCCTTTACTTCTTCCTGTTTTCGTTTAGCATCATGAACAATCTTATTCGCTTTTGAATCGTATACGAATATTAGAAGATGAAATCAAAGAACTTGTACAATATAAGTCTAATCATGAAGAGGTAAATATTTTTGAAAATATACTATATTGATTAAAGGTTTATGGAAATCGTGTTTTATTCAAAAATCATTCACACCATAGATTAACTTTGCCTTTTGATTTTCTATGGTTATCGATTTAGTATTGCTTTGTCTTGTAAGGTATCTTCAAACTAAATAATAATATGTCTCCCATCAAAATAATAATATTCAGTTGCACATTAATAACTAAATCCAAAAATATTTCCCAAAGTTCTGTTGAGAAGCCATCAGCGGTGGACTACAGCCGTGTTAAAAGTGAGACAGTTATCACAAAAGGCAATAAATGAATGCCTTTGAATAAACTAGAGTACGTTATGTAGATCACTGATTACCGATTCACTGATATAAACGTAAGTCATTCGATAAGAGATTTGATGGTCATGCGTTCGACACCTGGTAGAGTCTTGTGTGTACAGTGCTAAGAAGCCCCAGTACTAATTTCCCCACGAGTAATAAAAATGAGTGACAATGAACAAAGAGTGCTACGAATTAAAATAAAAACCGAAGATTTGGTTGAAGATTAGATAAAAATGTAAATACTCTACTACAACCCATTCTTTCCCATATCTTCTGATCACTTCAACCACCAATTACGATTGTCTCTAATATAAACTATCGGGTTTAAATTATTTGAAATGGTTCAAACCTGAAGTCAGTGTTGGTTGATTTCGACTACTAAATTTATGCTTTCACCCTTGTTAATTACTTGAAGATTGTATAATCGTACAATGAATTATACTATCTGATTAGCATTAAGTGGTGATTCCTAATCGTCCAGTTATTCTTATATCTTATTTTGTATAGGGTCCATTAAATTCTATACATGTTACAAGTCTCTATCAATGGCGATAAAATATGTTCGTCTGATTATCAAAATATGTTTACGTTCGAAATTGAACGTTAGATCTTATTGTCTTATTGATTATTTCTAACTGTCAAATTGAAGAATTAATGCATGCATTTTATTGTATACATAAAAATAGCATCATCTGACCAATTTTTAGTGAAGGTTATAGCCATGAAAAAGCAGTGAATTTTCTCAAAATTTGTATGTGAATCAAAATTTCGCCATAGAAAATCTAAAATCAACTCTAAAGGGAATAAATGCTTCTTTTTAAAAAAAATTGAATTGATTTTTTCTGAAATATTATATATATTAGTAACTTGATTTGTTAAAAGTTTAAGATAAATGTGTCCTCTTATCTAGTCTTCCATTTGTATATTCTTATCTAAATATACTGAAAAGAAATCAAATATTCAATGATCTGTGATTGAATAAAGCATGTTAAACATAGATCATATGTTGAGATTAGATGGCGGTTGGAGGTAGTCAACAGGAAACCGTGGACCCAGGTTTCGTGCTACTTGGCATTCATCAGAAAGGTGTACCTGTAATCTTGAGGGAACGGGTCCTCCCTGGCGGATTACGATCCCGTGTCACCCAGCTTCACAGTCAGAGACGTTATTACTGAGCTATCCGGGCCGTGACTGACCTACTGTATGACTGTGATGTAATCACAATTAATTGATCACTGGGTGGGGATCAATGTCATGCGTTTCAAGTCCTTATTTAGTGCAGATCGAATGCTATCGACCACCTGTCGACTACCTCCAATCGCCATCTAATTTCAATATATAGTGCACACAGTGTCGAGTCACCTAGACCGGTGACCACACTGCAACATGGTCGATAGCATTCGGTCTGCGCTAAATGAGGACTTGACACGCATGACATTGATCATCACCCAGTGATCAATCAATTGTGATAGATCATGTGTAGAAGAGCATCTTGGAACATTTTAAAACAGATATACATGATGGTCAGGATTGGAATTCATGACCCGCGTTTCGTTTTCTATCAGACTCGTCAGCTGTATGCACCTGCGCTACAGAGTTGATGTTCACTACCGAACTCGAACCCATTACCATCCACTTTGAGTGCCATCGCTTTATCCACTTAGCAACCGAGTCCAGATAGTCACTAGCTTGTATGATGGGTGAACTTTAATTTATATGAACTGATTATTCGAATCCTTTTATTAATATTTAGGACTGAAACTGATCAGTCTCATTTAGCAAATGTGAATCCTGTGCGGATTGCCTCGATATTGCAACTAAGTTACATGTATTTTAAAGTTGAGAATAGTGGCGAGATCAAAACAGAAGCACAAGATCCACATGTGCTAAAAGCGATTGATCAATTGCAGTCTCAAACATTATTGGGAAGATTCAAGCAACTGATAGATATAAATTCTGGAACATTAATAATAACAAAAGACAAAAAGCTTAAAAATAAATGGTCACGTAAGAAACAAACGCCAATAATAAGGAAGAGTAAAAAGAGTAAAGCTTAATTATTTGGCGATAAAATTACTAAACTAGAAGAGAGTCGAAGAAATGACATAACGAACTAATCGAATGAGTGGATGAGTTGAAAAACCCCAATGAAAAACAGTTTCAAAAACAAAAACGATTGACAAATATTTCCTGTTTAACACAGATCAGCTTTCCGACGCTTAGTGGCAATAGGTTCAGTAAAGATTTCATGGTGCCTACTTGTTTTTCTATTTCCAAATTATGTATAGAAATTGCGATACTCAATGTCTGTATTCCTTTTAAACGAAGGGTTTAGGGAGCGTTTCTGGAGAAATCAACGGTAGTCCATTTTTTTCATTAGGCAATATGACTTGTTTGGCAGCTACACCTACGTTTATGTAAAAATGACTGTGTCTGGTGTCTTTTGATTGAGTTAATAAATATGCTATTTTATTCAGGATTATTGGTTTGGATTCAGATTAGTTTCTCATTGGTGCACTGTTAATTCTTGTACTATTTGTCCTTAATGGGTATTTTAATTACTGTAGCTACTTTATTGTCCTTAGTTTCCCTACATTTGTGAATAAATACTAGTATATATCAATTACCTAATAGACAGTTTTCAACAGTTTTCAGTTATTCCAAAATAAATTAATAAAATGAAGATGAGATCTCTATTTAACTAGATGGTTTGTAAATTCAGTCATTTTCTCTGGTACTCTACAGTATGAAGTAGTTTATTGTATTGAGGTATTAGTGAATATTTTTAGTTTACGAGAATGATATTGTTGAAATTGGATTATTTGTGCTGAGTGGTCTAATTATGAAGTTTTGTCTAGAAAGGCAATGAAAATTTAATAATCAAACCATCTAACTTAAGAACGCAATTTTTACAAAATTTCAGTGCGTGAATTTCATTGTGTATGGTAGCTGGAAAACAAAAATTGATCAATTTTCCTTTCTTATTTTTTTTCCGCACTAATCCATTCAAAACATTTTCTTCTTAGTCTTGTAAAGAAGCAATTTCTTATTTGTTCTCTCATTTTTAAACAAAATTTTCATTTGTTCTTTCTATTGTTTGTTTAATCGTGTCTGTATGTGTAATTGCTTATTGCTTGTTTACTATCCAGATTTCTACTGTTTTTTTCGGTGCCATTTTATGTTTCGGAAAAAGCTGAAATAATATTGATCATTTTTTTTGAAGTTCAATGTCTAACTGTTTATTACTATTCTTAGTATCATTGGTAGTATCGGTAGTAGAAGTACGTCGTTATTTTCTATTAAATTTTATATTAACCAGTTGTTGAGGAGATTTATTAAGAAAGAAGGTGTATTAAGATTATTGACTAAGAAACTTAAAAGATGCTTTGTACTATCTGGTTTTCATTCGCTTTACAATTAATCATAATTCGTTATGAAAATTACTCTGAAATTCAACAATATTCACAAACTCGCTTTCCTAGGAACAATTAAGTTTCTATTAATGACTATTTTTGAAATGAATTCACAAATATTTAATGAAAACCCGATGACCAATTAGATATGTATGTATCAGGATCGGAATATCAAGAGTATCTACTTGTCTTACCTTGATACTTTTACTTAGTAAAATTGATAAACATAGAACTATGTAGAATCTCACTAAAGTTAATTGATTACTGTCATTTCTCTGTACAACAGTACAGTAAGAAAAAAGAGTAGAAGTAGAAAAATCATTATGAATAAAATAGGTGTGTATGTAGGAGGAGACAAATATAAAGTATTCAAGACGTAAAGAAAAGATAAGTCGCGGATGCATCTCCACCATTATGGTCGATTTCGCTGTATGAAATCCGAAGTTTGTAAACAATGAATTCCATTATCCCAAATATCTCATTCAGAAAGTTTACAACTCCCCAGCTTACTCGGATCACTTGTCGTTGCTTTTATGAAACAGTGATTATCGTCTTCACTTGTCAACTAACTTGTTACATGGTCAATTGCAAACTTGTATAATTGAACTCTGTTACTGGTTTGTATTTTCATTTACCTTACTTTTATTTTTGTTTTTTATTATACTCTGGATTTCAAAATTATTTTGCATCTTTCATTCTTGGAATCAATTATTTCCTCTTGAGTCAAATTCTTTAAAATTAATCTTTTTACTAATGTGGTATATGCTACTTATGTCTGTCGGCATACATAGTATGTAATACTGATCGGAAGTGGAAAACCTGGTAACAGAAGATGATCAAGTTGAAGGGGGCAGAAATGCAAATAGAAAGGAATTGCTAATAGGAAGAATCATGCATAATGAGAGGGATAAATTGTGAAAATTTTCAAATGGAGTATTAATTGCATGGTTCTCATACTTTACCAAGACATTTTGTAATTATGTGTTAAAGTACTATTGGTTGACCCCGCCTGTGTTCTAATTTATTACATTATCTCCGATACCTTTTCATTACTACTTCTATTACTATAGTATTCATCTTGATAGATACATATTCCTTTGCTGATATCTGATGTGGTAAGATGGACCGGTATTTATGTGCTTCAGATCCCACTTTGCTTGTGACTGATCATTGGACTTTTTAATTGACAACTAAAACACCTTTGCAGCTATATATATATATATATATATATATGTTTTAAGACATTGATCTTTCTATCTTATGAGCAGATGTTTGGTATAATTAAGTTTTAACTTTAGGATATTTTTCATTTCAATTGGTTATTTTTGCATATACCCAGCAAACATGTTAGGGGATCTAAGATATAGAAACTAATTTTCGCAATGTAATCATTTTTGCAGTGAAATAATACGAGTATTTTATTTAGCTAATAAAAAACACCATAAAATGGATTGAATTGGTCATATTGTCTAAAGGATGTATGATATGAATAGCAAAAAATACTTAAATGATGTACTGTGAAGTACTCATCATTTCGACTACGAATTGAATTAGAGATCTGATAGAATACAGACAGTTGGAGTTGGTAGTGGACATGAAACTCTTCATATGAAATTTTCAGTACTGTACAATACTCATCAAGAAATTATGAAATATCTCGGAAACAACTTATACGCCTTTCAAATTTTCAACGTTTCCTTCTTCAATGATAGATACTTAGGATTTGTTATGAATTTTCGAGCTACCACTCCCTTATAAAATCAATACGAACTGTGCTCATTTTATAATATATAAAAATTTACTACAGTATCTATCGCTAAATAAACTGTTAAAGAACAATTTTTAAAATATACTTTATCACCAAATATGGAATTAGACATACTAGATTGGATTGACTATTTTTTGTAAGATGTTTAATTTTATATTGAAGGATTTAAACGTTTCTAAAAGTAACTTTTATGGTTACTTTCTGTTACCGCTTCAAATAACCTCTACAATTGTTTATATTACTAAACGGATTTCTTATTTTTATGATAGAATACTTTCAAGTTAACATGATATTATGATAAAGAGATACATTCAACATTATTAGCTAACGTATATAACAGGGTTAATTAAACCAGTGAAATGTTTAGTAATATGTTACTTAAAAATAAGGGATTATTAAAACTATACTATAGTTCAATTCTGAATTAGAATGCCAATCTACTGAATTTGAATGTAAAGCTAAAATTTCGAAAGCAAAATTTTGTATGAGAATACTAACACCACAGACAATAAATGCTAAAGAATATTTCAGAGAGTAGAAGTAGGTTATAAGCTAAATATGGGATACAGATTGATGAGACTATAAACCTTTATTGATTAAGATAATGTGGATAAGTGTTAGAAATTATTACTTACCACATACGTCAACGCTAAATATCGGCTATCATAGAAGTAGGTTAAACAAAAGCTAGGAAAGGATGACGATCAAGACACAAGATCATTTCTTAAGGTCACCAACTGCTTATTTGACTCACATTAAGATTTTTTAAACGTTTTTATTAACGAGATAATCACAGTCTTTATTTGGAGACGGATGACTGGATTCATGATCTTTACCAATATAGCTGTATTCATTTGATACTATCATCTGATACTTGGGCTTCATGTTACTGTGTACTTTTTTTCGGTCTCACGCATTTTTTGAATATGTTTCTCATCAGGAGTTTTGTGGAGAGTTTGATAATTTCAATAGCTGAACTCATGAGTCAATTGAAGCTAAGCCACCATGGAAAACCTAGAAGCACTGTACGGCCGTTTCGTCCTATTGTGGGACTCCTCAACAGTGTGCGTTCACGATCCCGTCTCGCGAGATTTCAATCCAGGACCTATCAATCTCGCGTGCGAGCTCCCGAACACTGAGGAGCCCCATACTAGGACGAAACGACCGTCCAGTGCTTCCAGGTTTTCCATGACGGTCTAGCTTCAATTGAATCATGATTTCAACTAATGTTTTCCATATATATTTTTTCATTGTAACTCCTGTTACCTTCCTTATACTTCTCATCCTTTTAATTTTGTCCGTTTTTTCATTTTTCTATTTTTTTCTATTTTTGTAATTTGGAGAGTGAAATAGCCTGAACCGATGGATCTCTTTGTAAACTTTTGTATTATTTCAAGTCTGTTTATGTGTATAAATACATCCATTTACTCTTTTTTATACTGATGTTTAGTTTTCTAACCGAAATTCGAATTATGTTATGTTTTTATAATTCTAATCTCTTTTTTTGACATTTAATGTTGTTTGGTTATTTGTAACAAAAATAAGTATTGTTTTTGTCCGATTGATTTTATATTCCGTCACTTTTAATTATATAATTGAACTAAGTAAGGCAAATATTTACATTTATTCATAGCAAATGTTTTATTGTATAATAAACGTAGTTTCTAAGTAAAGTATATTGTATTGGATAACTTTGATTATTTTCTTCACTTTTTTAGTCGAATTTAAACCCTAGATATGGGATATATGAGTTTGAATCTAATTGTTCTCATTTCCAACTTTTGTTTTATCCGCAATGTTATGTGGTTATTATCAGTAGCCACGGCATCTAATCAATAACACATTCTTTATGGTTGAAAACAATCCTATACTCCTAGAACATTCTTTAATGATCTACTAAACCAGACAGTGTACTAGTTAAATCTAAAAAGTATATGTTAACCGTATACGCACGAAAAGTAATTTAAATTTTGACAGTTTGGGCCAGAAATATTCCAAAAAATATTTGACTCTATCAACATGGACAATTGACATTATCGTTTGAAACAAGTATCTTTTAGCATAATTGAAATTGCATTCGATCTTACCATAGTAACTAAGGTATTGAACATTTTAGAAATTAAGTTGCGCATTTGAACCTCATCTCATCTGTCTTGGTTTATAGAACTAAGTAATATTAACACTTTATCACAGAAAATAAAATCAATTACATAATGTCTATACTTAGTTATTGAGTTGTATAGTAAAATTATGATGACTGTTGTAAATATTAATTTTTAAAAATTATTTCGTTAATTGTAACCAAGTTACTCAGTCATGATTAAATATGGATTTCATTGAAATTTTCTCGTATACATTAATTCAGTTTATTATAAAAATGAACTAATTATTTTTGAACAATCTCATTTCAGTATTTTTTTTCTTCTTTTCCACGTTTTTTTTGTAGCAACAAGTGAACTATGAGACGAAATTAACTGAAAAAGTTTGTCAAGCTCAAATGTTTGAAGAGAAATTTCTAAAATTAAAAGAAGTCTATACTAAACTACGTGAAGAACACGTTGTTCTCTTAAAAAATGTATGTTTATCACGTTTCTTTTTGTATATTGCATATTAACTTCCATTCACTGGATGTATAAATATTTGATGAGTGATTAAACATTAGTAAATCGTAATTGTATGTGTCTACTAGAGATGGATTGCTTGAAGTTTCAATGAAAAACTGTGATCTATGTGATCTGATAAGTAAAAATTAAAAGGTAGTAATTCTTCATTAAAGTTGGATGAGTATTGTGCTTCACTACTATTATCTGCAGTCGAGAAGCTTTAGATTGAAATATATTGACTTGAAAAAATAATGCTTTTTGCAAGATTTAAAGGTTGAGTTCTAGATTTCTTGTGGAATCTTGGTACACGTTTTTAAAGAGTCTTAAACCAGGACGAAAAGATTATGAAAATTCGAACAAAACATTTTTTACAAAATTTGTGTGTTAAAATTCTAGTCGCTGAAATTTTTGCAAATGTAAATGCCTTTTAGATATCTATTTTTTCTTTTCAAATCCTCATTAATCGAGTAACCTTCAACATAATTAAATTTCTTTTCTGACCCTTTCTCTTTGGGTGGAGATTATGTTATCTGCTACACGACCTATTTTACGCAAATTTATGTATATATACTTTATTTCTTATAGAATCTACACAAACTGTTTAGGAATGGTTTTATTCTCATTATAGCAATAATCATGTTATACTTTGCTTCTTTCATAATAATTCTAGGTGTTTTTGTTAAGCAAACAATATAAATAGATTAGGTTTTTCAGACCATTCGAAATGAAGATCACATTGAGCTATCAAAAATTTGTTCATATTTGCATGAATATCCTTAAGAAAATGAAATAAAAATAATAAAAATTTGTCTAATTGCGAATCTTTATTATAACACTTGTTAGAGGTAATGACTTTTATTGAAAAGCAATACAAATATTATTGTTAGTTCTTTGTAATAAGCACACAGATTTCTGAGCACATATGATACTTAGAATAAAGCTTAATGACTTTATGTGTTTTGCTTTTATTTGTCTCGATTATAAATGGAATTGATCGACTGAAAAATAGGAACATGGATTTTTCTAAACAAAATATTAACGTAATACATACGAAATAACACTAACCCACATTATGGAAGAATTCTACTTACTTTCAAGCTAATTGAAATTGCTTGATCATCATAAATTCTGCTACCTAAAATGAGGGGGTTTCAATAAATATTAATAGAATGTAACTTGACCATCATAGCAAACTTTCTATATTTGATCGATATAATTAATGAAAGTTTTGTGCAAGGCATTTAAATAATATCGTTAGGATAAATTAAAGCCACCGAATATGATAATGTAGCATCGTTTAATGAAGACTAATACTTGAATTTATCAGGATGTGCTGTTTCTTATTATGTTTTAACTTCACCATTTCGCCTCTAAATATGAGCACTACTACTACTACTACAAAGATAATTTTTTTACCTCTATAAAAGCTACATTACAGATATTTAGTAAACGATTTCATAATTCAAAGTATTATTAGTGTGATTTTCAGTCACTTTCATATCTGTGAAATTCTACCACTAGACAGTACAGACTGTTTTCGAAAGTCACTCACATCGAGCAATCGAACAGTCGATCTTTTTGAGCAAGTAGAAACAATTTTAATGCTGAATAGCTTTTCCCTTGTTCAATCAGCTATGTGCACTTTTATTGCATAGTGTTCAATTTGTGTGAATTCATCAGTATATCATAAATTAAGTGATTTATTCGTCTAATATTTACGAACTACACTTTGATCGGATAACTATCACCAAAAATATTTTGTCAATATAGGTGCCTGAGACTTAGTCTTTTAGTTTAATTTAAAAATGTCTTGCGATCCGCGCCATGATCAACGTACATATATAAAATAATGAACTTTTCCATTGAAAATTAAATGATCACTTCTTTAAATCCACTGACATACAAGTTTTGATATTCATTCAAGTTAACTTATAACATAAAGAGGCAAATGTATACCATGTTGTTGAATACTTGTAATTGAATGAATAAATACTTTTCTAGTAGTGTTTAGGTGATAAGACACAGGAGGATGATATATTTTTCGTGTGTTCATCATCTTAGATTTTCTGTATAAATATATTGTGTTATAATGAGTTTATTTTAGAAACGATTTGATTATATAAGTTTACAAAAGAAAATTGGCATAAAACAACATACATGATTGTAAACTTCACCTCGAGATATTCCTGATAAAATTTCTATTGCTTGTCATTTCCTTTTTTTTGCGAACGATGTAGTAAAACTGTACACTTTCATCAAAATCTTTAGAAAAAGTCTCGTATATATAGTGACAATCAATTTCTTTTAATAATTTACCAGTCAGCTCAATCTACTCCAATTCAACTTTCTGTTCTTTAGCTTAGATAACTTTTTTTCAAAACACCTTCAACGACTGTTCTCTAAGCATCCTATTTGGTTTGTGATTGTGATCTACATTAACTGAGTATTGGCTAGTAACCAATATCATTCTTCATAGTCCCTATTGCTAATAGAATTCCTGATATATCAAATTAAGGTAGTTATTGGTCTGAGTCGATTTTTCTGAGCAGTTTAATTTGATGTTATTTGGCTAGAGACAATAGGTCGGGAGATCTTTTTCTAAGTTCTCTGCTGTCTGAAACCATGCAGCAGCCCGTATTGTCGGTCTCTAGGAAATTGATACCACTCGTAAGATTTAAATGCAAGTTACCAGCTGTTACTGTAAATGATCTTCACACTGAACTGTTCAGCTAACATTACTTTTCTGTATGACAAATCAACATTTTATTTATTTTATAAATATTTTATAAATATCTCAAGAGAACTGAATCAGTTTCTGGCAATTTCCCAAGATTATTCCTGTTCTTCATAATACATTTAAATTATCGAAATGTCCACATTTCTACCAAGCAATAAATTGAGCTAAGTAATATCGACAACTGTTTAGTGGTTTTCGGTAGTTATTTAACTAATATAAATTTAATAATGATGTATGTATGATGTATGTATAGCTTCACTAACTTACAAATATTATTGCACATAGTTTTCATGTAGCTTACTTTACTATCTATTCATTTATATAGCATAATTTTTAACTTTAAACAATATTACATCTTATATTTGTTTGTTATTTTTATTTAACTTATTATCCATGTAGTATGGCAATGTTCAACAAAACTTACAACAAGAAACTCAAAAGAATCAAGATTTAGTAAAAACAATTGAAGTATGTCAGCAATATCGTTTTATTATTTCAAGATATAAATCCAATTATACAATGCAATGCAATTATTACTCATGGATTAATTTTGTATGTTTCTAAAGAAGCTTTCTGATACTGAAGTCTATCTAGATTTGTTGACAAAAATAAGTGTGACTACTGAGTAACAGCTTTGAATGAATTCTTAAATTGCCCCTTTTTGTGACTATTATGATCTTTTGGTTAGAACTAACATCACTAATGAAATTACATATTATCGTAATGTTTTGCAAATACGAGAATAAGTCCTATCTAGACTTTGATACTTGGCTACCATAACATTCTTTTCGTTCTAACCCCCAGGCACTTCAAAAATCAATCTTTCAAGGAAGATTTATTAGGGAAATCAAAGAAGATTTGTTTAAGCAAACAATCGGTGCGTTTAAACACGTTTCTAATGATGATTTTTGGCATAGGGTAAGAAATTAGTATGCTCGATAGCCCATAAAGCATTAATGAAGTGGGATCATTTAATTGTATTAAAAACGAAAAATGTTTTCTGTAGATAGATTGATTACACGCAGAAAAAATAGCAATTCAAGTATATTGAACAAAAATAACAACATAATCTGTCAGCAAATAGTTTGTTGATATTGTAGCATCTTTAACATATGGAATATTGATATTTTAACAAGCGATTAAACCTAGGATTTATATTTAGCAAATTCTTGTTGATGGTAAACAGCTTCATATTTAGGTAACTAATATAATATGCCTTTAGAGATTCTCTGTGTTTGTTTAACCCTTCGTTCTATTTTCTTCTCTGTCACACACACTTGTATATATTTAGACTAAATTGCCTTATGGCATTATTTTTCTTAATATACACCATGTCTGAAATAATTTCATTTTCAATTCAATTCAGTCATATTCTCTGTATAATAATTACGAGTATATTATTACAGTTTCAGTCTAAATTGTCTTTATTTGATCTTATCAGTAAAATATAACTATTTCACTTTATTAATGGTATACATTTAGTATTTATTATACATTTTATCCAGTTATAAACAATCTAGTTAATGATAAACACACAGAGATGCCAACTATGATAATTTTTATTTATATATCCATTCTGCTAAGGTATATGTATTATCTGGTTAACATTAAAAACGTGATCAAACATAATGTAATAACAATGTATGTAACGTAACATAGGTATTCTATTAAATGAATATTTAGAAATACATTCATCTGTTTATCGGTACCTAAGATCACCTGTTAAACCATTGCTTTTGGTTTCATTGTGGTCCTCAATGTACCTGTGATTATTGCGCCATTCAATTCCGGAGGATCACTTTTTCAGTTTCAATTTACAAGTACTACCACTTTGGTTTATGTAACAATTCCTCGGTGATGTTCAGGGACGTTCTAATACGCGATTCTGTTTCAGAGGGAAAAAGACTCAGACATAACACTCTACTTACAATAATTTGTTTGTTTTCTTATACAATCTAGGGTTCTCTAAATTAAATAAACTTATTTACTTATCCTTCGCGAAGGGAGCATAGGCCACCCACCATCACTCTCCATCGAAATCTTTCATGGTCAGTCCTTTCCAGGTGATTCCGATTCCCGATACAATGTGTCCTTTAGTCTTTCTGTTGTCTTTTGACCTTCAGGATTTCAAGTTAGCTCTTGCCTCATGATACAGTTTGATGATTTCTACAACGTATGCCCTATCCACCTCCAACGTATTTTCTTGATTTTTTTTCAACTGGAAGCTAGTTTGTTCTATCCCACAGTAGGTTGTTACTGATGGTATCCGACAAGTGGGCCTTGAGTATCTTGCATTGACAGTTGTTTAGAAATACCCGTACTTTTTGATGATTGTTGTAGTAGTTCTCCCATTTTCAACTCCGTATATTAGAACTGTCTTGATGTTCGTATTGAAGATTCAGACTTTGATATTGGTTGACAGTTGTTTTGGGTGTTAGGTGTACTTCAATTGTAGGAATACAGCCCTTGGTTTAACAATCGTTATCTTCAAATCTGCATCGAATCCTCCTTGTTCATCGATGATACTGCTCAGGTATGTGGGGGATTTCACCTATTCCAGAGCCGAATAACACAGATCGAATTCTCGATTACTGTTGTAACAACCCAAAACCTCACAAAATCAACTGCATACAAACTTTTTTAAAGAGGATGAAAGCACACTGCAACACACTTGTAGCGTGGAAAATAGAAGAAAAATATCTAATGACTATCCTTCAAAAGGATGGCTGTCCACGCAACTTGATTAAAAAATGTCAACTCAACTCTTCAGCAGGAACTAAATCAAGTACAGAAACCAGCAAATAGATCATCCTACCATATACAAAAGACAGAAAATTATAAGACTGTTGAAGCCGTTTAGAATAGGTGTAGCACACAAATCTTGGATAGACGAAAGACCAATGCACCAGAGGATTTTTAGAAGTTTTGCACTCAGATTAATCAGCAATCAACAAATCGATCTGATCCATCAACCAATTAGAAAAATCATGGACAAATATTGAACGAAGAATCAAATCGAAGGAAGATACAATCAAAATAAAGAGGTGGACATGACTGATGTAAGGTTGACAGGACAATTGGTGAGTCATATGTGGAGAAATTTGAACACTTCACTTCTGCCCGGAGTTTATGCTGATGATGTCGTTCATAAGAACAATGAAAGCTCCACGACCAAATCATTCAACTTAGAGAACAGAACTCCATCCAAATAATCTAACTGAGCTACAAATCTTCTAAATTTCAAGTGATGATGATAGGCTTCTCACGTACATCATAATGTCGAAGAAGGATCCATAACATTCTCCTATCCACATAGTCAAACGCTTTCTCATAGTCAAGAAAGTTGATGCATAGTGACAAGTTCCATTTGATTGATTGTTCAACGATAATTCACATTGTTGCGACCATTCCTTGCGGGACAGCTTGTTTATCTTGAAGTTGATCTTCTACTGATTCAGTCGATCAACACTGTCGAAAACGTTTCCTGGTACTGATGGTAGTGTGATACCTTTCTAGTACACATATTTTATCTGGTGTCTTGACGAGGTGTCGTTCTTCCTCTTAAAACTTCTTGATTAGAATTAAGATCATCTTTGCACTTACATTAACCTTATAAAGGCTCTCTACTGGAACACAACAGGTCAAGTGAGAGCTTATGGCGAACTGTCATCAGAATTGATTACCTCAAGTGGTGTTCGTCAGGGATGTCCACTCTCTCCATTCTTGTTTAACTTTATCGTAGACGTGCTTTTAGAAATGATACTTTCCTCATTTGAATTTCCAGGGGTTGAACTTCTACCGGGAGATTCACTTGTTGATGAAGATGCTAACAAAATGAGGAGTCTTATGACCACTCTAAGCAACAATGCAAGCATGTTCGGGATGCGATTCTCCCCCACGAAATGCAAAATGTTGCTTCAGGATTGGGTTACATCGACACCCGAACTAGTGATAGGGAGTGAAGTAGTTGAGTGTGTCGACCGCTTCACTTATCTTGGGAGTCTCATCAAGCCTTGTGGTCTGGTGTGTGACGAAATCTCAGCACGGATACAGAAGGCTCGACTAGCTTTTGCGTCGTATATGGCGTAGGCGAGATATCCGTCTACCAACCAAAGGACGGGTTTACTGTACAGCAGTTCGTTCCGTCCTAGTTTATGGCAGTGAAACATGGCCGGTAAGAGTAAAGGATATTCATAAGTTACTAGTATTCGATCACAGATGTCTTCGAAATATTTCTCGTATATCGTGGGAGCATCGAGTAAGTAACACAGTTGTTAGGAAACGGGTACTAGGTAAGGATGGCAAATCAATTGATGACGTAGTGAAACTTCATCAGTTGAGATGGCTGGGACACGTGTTACGTATGCCCAACGACCGACTACCTCGACGTGCGATGTTTTATGGTGTAGAAGTAGGTTGGAAGAAAGCTAGAGGTGGCCAGACCAAAACATGGCACAAATCCATGAAGTCACTGACAAGTGGGCTGAGTCATTTTGGTAAGTGTAGACTACCTGGTTGGGATCTGCGAGACGATAGCAACCGACGGTTAGAGACCTTGGCTCAAAATCGTTTGGAATGGTGCAGGTGCATCCACTTTTTGTGTTCTCACAAATTCTCATCTTCTGTATTCTTCATCTTCCGTTTTTCCGCTTTCCGAATTTACTTCACTGGATTATACTCGTTGAATAATGTCTTCAAACACTAATGTTTCCGATTACTGCTTATACTCTTACTACCTCTACCACTACGGGATTTGAATCGACAACTTCATCTCTGTGCTAATGTGGTATGGCGACTCGAACTGGTGTACGTACGTTCGGAGTTCTACGTTGTTACTGACTGACTGACTACATCTATGTCTGACTGTAGTACTTCAGCTGGTATTTTGTCAGATCCTACTGCTTTCCCACTGTTGATTTGTCTGATGGCCGTCCTGATTTCTTCGATCGTTGTTTCAGTGATAGCTATGGAAAGGTGTGTGTGTTGTTTGGATGTCTGATGGGTTGAGTGGGACTGGTGTGTTCAAAAGTTCTTCAGAGTGTTAAACCTATCTGTTCCTTTGTTCTTGAATCCATGTGATTTGATTGCATTCTTTCTGCTTGACTGGTCGATCTGGTTTACTATATATCACTGCTAGTTTCTTCGTTGTGTCATATTGTCGTGTGATATTTCATTTTGATTTAGTCTTTTCAGCTGTGGTTGGTAGGTGTTCCATGTATTTTTTTCTTGTCTCTTGTAACGCTCCTCTCCACGTACTTGTTCGTTTCTGTGTATTGGACGTGTGCTGTCGCTTTTTCTGTTGTTGTTCGACTGTTGTTAATTGTTTCCTTCATGATTCCCTGTATTGTGATCGAGTGATACACAAGTAGCCTTGTGTATGTGCTTGTGTGGGAATGTGCTGTCACCTACAACTATTTTGTTTGGGACACATACATTTGAAAATTTGTCACCACTCTCGTTTCTTTCTCCCAGTCAATTGATGTAACTCCACGATATCTTTATGCTCGTTGTTGTCCATTCCGACTTTGGTGTTTAGATCTCTCGTCAGAGTTGTGAGTTCATTTCCTGAGCATTTCGGTATTATCGATTTCCGAATTTCATAAGACTGATCTTTATCGTCTTCATTGCTATCATTGGTAGGTGCATAACACTGAACAACATTTATTGTAATCCTCTGCTTCGTTTTGCTGAATGATGTGGTGATGTCGATCCTGTGAGTGGTTTCCGTGGTTCATTGAACGCTTTCAGTGCATCTCCGTGGGTGTGTGGAAGATTTTCTCATTCATGAACCGAATACAACAGCATCTTTTCTGAACTCTAACCTTTTCTGTCCATCTTTGATATAATGGGTTCCAATTATTCCGAACACAGCCAAGTTCAATCTTCTTATTTCTGCAGCTATTTGACTTGTCTTTTCAATCTCCAACATTGTCCGGACATTTCATATACCTATATTAATTGTTGCTCCAATCATCAGAAGGAGAATCGGCCTCATAATTTGCTGAGAATCTTGACTTTCACTATAATGTATTATAACTCTTATGGATGAATATCCTTCAAATTGTAGGTCAGAGTTTAAATGATAAAATTACTTATTGTGGTTGCACTTTTTAATAAGTTTGGTTTCTGCCGGGTGGTATTTTTGATTTCATTCTGAATCCTCTGGTCTTGGGATCACTAGTCACCCTGGTAGGGCTACAGGCGAAGCTAAAATAAATTTAATTAATTGATTCTTGCTTTTCTACTCTAGGATCTCCGTCACCACCAAATGTCCTCATCACTAGGTGAAGTTGAATCGCTTGTTTCTGGAAATCGAACTGAAGAATCCGTCGATCAATGTTTAAAACTACAGTATCAATTGAATGCCTATGAATCAAAATCGGAATCTGTAAATACTGAGAAAGATCAACTTACTGTAGAGGTTTGTGCCGTTTTCAGTTTTAGAAATCAATTATGAAGTGAATTACTTATTTGTTTATTATGAAACTTATTTATTTTACTATTGGTTACAATATAATATTTACTAAATTGATTATTCGTAGTTCATGTTAATAGTTGTGCTTGCAGTGCCATTTTAGCGAAATAACCATCTGTCGGTTAGAAATAGAAAGATAGATGACAGTCCTAATGTATGTCATTCGTTTACATCCTGAGGTCATTGTTTACTATATATTCACAAAATCTCGCTAAAATTTAGTTCGAAATGAATTGATTAATGAATGAATAAAACTTATTTGATATTTGACTTTATTGTTAATGACTGTGTTTATGCTTTATAAATGGGTAAAGAAGTATTTATAAATATGTATAAAAGTTAATTTGGTACATAAAATGACAACTGTGGTTTTTTAAATAAATGTTCCATTAGTTGGCCACTAATTCACTTTGATTATTTTGATCATTTGTGTGATCCTTTGACGTAAGCTGTGACGCTTTATCTCCTTAATGAAACTATCTCTAGACTCAAATGCTCTGTGACTTGAGAAGAGTAATCTGTCGTCACTAAAGGTACTAGGATCAGAGATAAAATGAATGTTTTTCGACACCGTTTTTAAAAATTAGTGGTCAAAATAATTCTTCAATAAACATGACTAATCACAATTCAATTTGAAATAGATTGTATAATCCCATTGTATATATTTTTGATTGAAATTCGATCAGTATTAGTTGGCATATGTGCATCCCATGTGGATTGCCTTAGTATGGTCATTATGACACAAATTATTATTGGACAGATGAAATATTCCTAGCAGTGGAATCTAGCACACACATTTCGCTCTATGTATAATACGTCAGTCGGATGTTTTGATGAAATTTCAATCGAAAATATTTACAATGGGATATTTCAATCTTCAAACTAGAAAGTTTACAAATCTAGGGAAAACAATAAGATAAAAAGTCTATACGACTATACCAGAACGACCATCGATCGAACTGTTGAATTAAAAATCAGGGAAACTTGAATTTTCTGTCTACAACTTGAGAGAAAATAGTGGAGATTGTCTATGGTCAGTAACTCTATGCATCACAGCTGACTGTATCAGAATACCCAATATGTGACTTTGCGTATATTCAGCGTTATTTCGTAATTCTATCAAACGTTTTATATGATTATTTATAACTCAATGAAGTTAGTAGCCTATTAACTCAATCTGTTTTGGAATTTTGATCAAACTTCTTTAGTATAAACTTAAGGGTACAAAATGCACCACTACGTTACTTACATCTGCTCTGGAAATCATGAAGCTATAATTACGTAACTAACAAGCAAATGGATAGAGGTCAAAAACCTTAGAGATGGAAATATTTATATTTAAATGTTTTATTGAAATTCTTTTTGTCTAAAGAATCTGACACTTTTTTTTCTTACGATTAACCAGAGAATTGGTTTTATTCACGTTTATGATTATTATGGATATGTGTCTGAATTCAAGATAAAATACATACTATAAAAACAACTCAGTATCTTAATCACAGCCTCATCCCATCGAATTGTTTATGCCTTTACTTATTCTTTGTTAATGAAGTCAAGCAACCTTAATAATAATAAAATTTTATCAGTTATTGACCTGAATCGTTCGTTCAGTTACAACATGTTTAATTACAGCACTGGGAAATTCTCAAAGACATTTGTTTCAGTCAACCAACTATGGATTTAAATCTTGTATCTTGTGAATTAAACAACTAACAGTAGATTGTTTCACATGTTAGTGTTATGGTACATATAGTCTGAACTGACTTTTTTTCTTTCATTGATTCAGCTAGATATCATGAAGTACTTATTAAATTACCATCTGATATCTATCTGTACCTCTGGTATTAGTTATGTATCATTGTTTTTTATATATATTTTTGGCTAGTATACACAAACCATTTTATCCATTAAGATTATCAGTTTCTAAATTGTAATTTATTCATATTGTGTTTACATCCATACATCTTCATTTATCTGTTACACATAATGCTTATTCAATAATTTTTTTCTATTTACAAACAATTCTTTGTGTTTCTCATTGTCGCCTTATAAACGCATTGAAGTCATTTCATAGTTCTGTTAAACTACTAATTTCTATTAATTTGTGTCATTGAGTTTCTCTTGTATGAAAACTGTAGCTTCCTTTAAAATTAGATTAATGTACAATCTTAAGATAATTAGTCTAGTGTTTTACCTGTATGTACACGCTCTCTAAGTAATGTCAAATATCCGAATTTTAATTTTACTTATATTTCATTGTGAATTGATTTATTAGTATATTATAAAGTCAATCAAGCAACTGACCATCATCATCTTCAAGTTTCTTTTCTGTGACCAATTCTTCCCAGATTAACCTAAATCTCAGCAGAATAAGGGACAGTGTTTAACAAACTAACTTCAAATACATACTGATTTAACAAGGTAATATACTCATTTTTGAAATAAACTAGTCATAAATACAGATGATAATCTAGTAGTTCAGTGCATGTGTGAAGTATAATTTTTAGTGTTCCAGTGTATACTATTTATTTATGGCATAAGTAGCGCGAAATTTTATTTTTAATTTTTTTCACCAATTTGACTTCGAATCAAGGAAATAAACAATATAGAGGAATTTCACCTTTACTTCTTCAGTACACAATAGTTTGCCTTTAAATCTTGACGTGGTCTGAATGTCATTCGCTTTTCGTAAAAATCGTGTTGTGACAATCAAAGTATGAATTACATATTTCCATGACTATTCTTTCTAACGACTAGTTTTTAAAATGATTCTATGTTGCTTATATATGTATGCTTGATTATAGACGATATGTCTCTATAGTGAATTGTTAGGTGATATTTGATAGATTTCAAACATTTTTAGTTACATTTGTGAGTGGAATCTATTTTGAAGACATTTCTATACAGTCAAACCAAAACATAACATTCCTCAGTTTATTGTTATTTTAGTCTGAGAGGTTCTGGAAACTAGTAGATCTTCTGTCTGAAAAGCATAAAATGATATAAGCGAATAACTGGCAAACTAGTATGTTGTATTTTGTGTTAATTAACATGATTCATATAATATAATCACTTCATTTTATGTTGTTAAGATCTGATTTACCATCATCTTTTGCTTCTGTTTCCTTACATTATTCCTTGTATTTAGTCTAATATTTTCGATTATTTGAAAAAAGAAATCTTTTCGAATTTCGACCACATAATTCTATGAATACTATTGTTTAAATATACATTATTCAATTTTCCATAAACTAATCATTACATAAAATTGTAGCTCTTGTGTTAATTATATTTGTCTGTATGAAAACGACTTATTTTATTTGTGCTTCAAAGCGAAGCGTTACTTGTTGGAACTTGAAGACAGTTGATGTTCAATATCAAAGATAAAATTGGTATCACTAAAATTATATATGAATTTATACTGGGAAGAAGTTATTTATAACTATTCTCATATCTCTTTATCATTTTTTTCTTTTCTATCATTCTGACTAATATACAAATGATACACAATAAATGTCATGTGATTCTTATTCCTAGTGTGTATATAGTTACTATTGGACATATATAGAATATTTATGATTATCATATTTGTTTAATCAATCAAACCTTACTGTAGAAAAAAAGGAACTCTTACAAAAATGGTAAACTTAAAAATAATCTAATTGAATGATAATTTACTGAAATAAGCAATATGATGATAATGATGCTACACAGAAAGTGATATATAGTTATCTCATTACAAAACCTCATTTGAAAAGTAAAACATTCAGTAGTTTTGTGGTATGTGCTACTTATATTAACATAGGTAGTATATGATATTAGTCATGAACAGAATGTCAGGTAGCAGAGAGACAAGAGGATCAAACAGTAAAGAATGGAACAGGATGCAATTTGTATAAAAATGCACGAACACTGAATTCTGAGTCACTATGAGACAATTGGTGGACATTTTGCAACTTAAGCATTTACTTTATGATTGTTAGATTCTATTAAAAAGTCCTGTAATTTTGTGTTAAATACATTCGATTGTCTCCACTGGTGGAAAATTGGAATTTTGTTACTAGTTAGACTTTTTCAATGAAATCTGTAAAATGTAGATCTATTGATTACTATTTCTATCATTTTTATTTCTATATGTCTAATTCTCTTATTATCCTTGTAATTTTATGTGTTTGTTTTGTTCAATCAAACATTACGTAATAGAATTCAAAATTGATGCCAAACTTATTTTATCTTTACTCTTAAGTGCTTATCTTTCTATTTTTATTAATATATATTAACTTGAAATGTGTTTATTCCTTTTGATCATTCAATTAAAATGATGACTGTAGCAACTGATGCGAATTTACGCCAAAAGTGTATTCTTTGTTTAAATATTTTATAGTCAAATCTTTTGTTAACTTCACTCATAATTATCTTGTAAATACTAATTTGATTTATGTCTAAGAGATTTTTACCAGAAAGTAAAAGATAACCGATAAACAAAAGTTGGAGTGATCGAATCATTATGAGATATCAACGTATGAAGTCATTAAATATAGGTTAATGAAGACCTCTTGGTTGTGATTAGCATAGTTAATATTTGGATATCATAATTGAAAGGACTAGAAATTGATTGCATTGTCTGAGTTCCTTTCGTTGTCCTTGTTTTAAATACTGAGCTTCAATATTATTTCATAACTTTTAGTTTATTATCTAATTACCTCTTTTTATATCTTACTTTCGATGATTAGTTTTTTTTCACAGCCATTACTTACTTACGCCTGTTACTCCCAATGGAGCATAGGCCGCCGACTTGCATTCTTCAACCCACTCTGTCCCGAGCCTTCTTTTCTAGTTCCATTCAATTCTTGTTCATTTTTCTCATGTCTATCTCTATTTCCCGGCGTAATGTGTTCTTTGTTCTTCCTCTTTTCCTTTGGTCTTGAGGATTCCATTTGAAGGCTTGTCTTGTGACACAGTTGGATACTTTCCTCAATGTGTGTCCTATCCACTTCCAGCGCTTCTTCCTGATTTCTTCCTCCACTGGGATCTGGTTTGTTCTCTCCCACAGTACGTTGTTGCTAATAGTGTCCGGCCAACGGATCTAAAGTATTTTGCGTATACAACTGTTAATAAACATCTGTATTTTCTGGATGATGGCTTTCGTAGTTCTCCAGGTTTCTGCTCCATATAGTAGAACTGTCTTATCGGAGAATCCTGCTTTTCCCTTTGTGTATATTGAGACCCACTGCTTCTGAGTCTGCTTCCATGCTGTTCATCTTCTCCTGCATTTATTGTTGCGTTTGGGATAGAAGGGCCAGATCATCTGCGAAGTCTAGATCGTCCAACTGCATCCTAGATGTCCATTGTATCCCGCGCTTCCCTTCAGATGTTGACGTCTTCATGATCCAGTCGATCACCAGGAGAAAGAGAAAGGGTGAGGGTAAGCAACCTTGCTTAACACCGGTCTTCACAACCATAGAAGCTGGTAATACTTTGATTCCCTCACTAATAAAATGTTTAATTTCATCACACTGTGATGACTTGATGTAGTGACCTTATCAGGCGAACGTTTTTACCAAGCCGTAATTTATTTTTACTAATTAACGAAAAACTAAGCAGAATGATTTTCGTAGTTATTTAGTTAATAGTTAGTGCATTTAGAATACTATTTTGCTCGTTTTAGTAACGAAAGTCTATTATCCCATCATTTCATTGATAAAACGTAACTAAAATAATCTGATTAATTGATTGGTAATTTCAGCTTTCAGAAAGTCAACAATTATTAAAGGATTCTGAAATGAAAATTTCCAAATTAACTAATGAATTGCAAGTTTTAAATGATCAACTTAACCAGGAGAAGTTATTTGCAGTCAGGGGAAATGATACATGCAACGGAAATACTTTCACACATATTGTTGGTGATGATAAAGATTGTAAGAATGGCGAATTAACAATGCATTTAGATAAATTTAAACAAACGCTTTTAACAAACACCGTTGAGCAGGTATTATCTGTATTACAAAGTAATCAAACTATTGGACAATCACCTGAATTTATAGAAGTGTACATACATTGTTCTCCAAGTGAGTTTTATCTTATCTTTTATTTCTCCTCTATATTCATACAATCCCGTGAATTCGGTCTGTAGTCTAATTCTTTAACATTTTGCAGAAATTTTGTGTCAGAAAATCGTAGTTTTTATAATGTTGATATGTCGAATTCGTTGTTGCATATTAAGATCAACTATACATGATTCCAATCAATGTATGGAGAGTGTATGGTTTACTCGCAGAATTATTCACTATGTTCTTGATCCAAAATTTTTGTTTATAAAAAGGGACGATAGCGTCAGATGAGGCATTAATGTATTGCATAATAAATAAACGAGTTTTATATTGTCTTATTTTTTCGAGATCCTAAAAACTGTGTGAACCACTAATTTGAAAGTAAGGTTTTCCTCTCCTTTACATTGAGACTTCTCACTCACCTATTCGACTTAATAATTGTAAATCACATCTCAAGATTTTCTGAATCACTATCGCTACATGATTATACGAAGACATTTTCCACCCTCTATTGTATAAGGCTTCAAATAACATACCTTTAAAGATATTGGATTATACCTCTATGTTTCTGTCAATCTTGAACAGTTAATATCATTGTATCTATTTTTCTTATTTATTAATGCCTCTGTTTTCATTTCATCACTAATGTTTATAATTACTTTGATTTTTTGTTATATTAACAAATTACTATTTTGTCAGTAAATTCAAATGTGTTTCGTTAGTTGACGTATTTTCTTTCAAATTCAATAGTTTCTAAATATTTAATCCTTTTAAAAAGTATATAAATTATTACTGTCAAAATATCTTCACAATAGGATAGTAAATTTGTTCAACGAATTGAAATCAAAATATCATGCGCTACCTAATATTCATTTTGTTTTGTTTTGTTTATTTTTATTTTAGCGTACTTTTTAAATCATTTATCACAAGTTACTAACTATTTTAATTTATTTGAATCTGCATTAACTGACTACTTGTCTGATAATGAAAAAGGTAATAATTATAAAATCATTTGTTTTTATTTTTCAAAATTTAATTATTTATTCATTAGCTCTTTAAATATTCGAATTTGTTTGATGGATCACAACTGAAAAATATTAAATGTTAATTTTGGATACGTATATAATTATAGCAGCCTGTATTTTTGAATTGAATGAAATTTCTCCCCCTATTCATTGTATATAAACTTGTATATTTTAACAGGATTGATTCAAACTTCATATTATATTGGTCAGCTAAACTCTCAGTTATCATTACTATCTCTCTTATCTAAATCGATACGTCAATCAAATGGTACAAGTGATTCTTCATACAGTAAGTGATTGTATTGATATTATTCCTGGTACTTTATCTCATCTAATATTGTTTGTGTCTAACTTAGTGTGTTTTTAGATTCTGAAAAGTGTGGATTGATTAAATTCTCCTTGCAAGCACATAAGTATACACCTCAATTGGATTTCTCCACGTCTTTGAAAATTAAGTATATTTTAGTCGTTCAAAAATGTCATCTGGGTTTCCTTTTTTCTGTTTTCCAAGAAATTTATGTGATTTATTATACATTCTATAATATTAGTAATGAATGGCGGTCTGCTTGAATAGCTGAACTTTCTGTTTCTGCCATGTAGATATTTCAACATGTTATCTGTTTTTGGTTGTTTTAACACATGATTATGTCTGTTAATCGTATGGCCTATTCAGGTACGTTAATGAAAAGCTAACAGCCTTTCGCTGTACAATTTACAAAAAGTACAATCAGAGACGTTGTGGTGGCTGGCAGTATTCATTGAAAAGAATGAACATTATTCAGATGTTGATTTCTGAACTGCTCCCATCTAACTGGCGATCACTAATTGACACGATAGACTGTCTTCAATTCCTACGAAGCCTAAACATGTATCGTAACTGTGGTGTAATTACAATTCCAGACTCCTGGTTAAATGATTTACCAGATGCCTACTCAGCATCACTACAAGATTTCCATATTTGTTGCCAGAATCGACCAAGAACTCTATAGGTTATACTACATAACGAAAATTGAATAACTTTCATACTGCTGTTTTATAACAAAATATCTAGTAGTGAAATATGAATAATATGTAAAGTTATGTTGAAGTTTGTATTGATATTCTTTTGACAATAAATTAAATAGTTTCATTAAACCATGAAATGAAAGTGGCATAATTTTAATATTCTGTAAACTTTTAATAAAGATTATCACAGTCCTATTCAAGTATCAATAGTTATCACCAGGATAACTCATCAAAAAAAGTCTTTTGAGATAATTTGGTTTATAATGGTTTAGATAATTTCTTTGTTAATATTTTGACAGAATTTTGATGGGTTTCATTTGGCAAATGTACATTCTGTGTATATTGCCTTGATATAGCTATTACAACACAAGCTTATATAAAATAGATAGCATGTGATTAGCAGTGGAATCCAATTCAATACACGTGTTTCTTCTATGAAATGGACTTATAAAGCTAATTTTGTACTAGTACAGTTATAATCATAATTTATAACAATTAAGTTAGTAATGAACTGTCGAACTATTGGCGAGACTATAATTTATGGACGAGCCAATCAGAAGCCTTTGAGGGATTCCGAGGTCACGGCGCCAACTCCAGTACTTAATGCTAACGTACGATCGGTTCATAGGGGATTTTAAACAAACCGTTATAATTGAGCGGCTATAACAAATAAACCGGCGAGATTATGATTTGTGGACGAACCAATCAGGTATAAGATAACAGATCTCGGATTTTGGCTGCGAGTCTTTCATCCATTTAGCTAAATAGAGTTTTGGCACTATACCTGATGTCAGTTCGTAATGGAAACCCTATATATAATTCCTAACTAAGGCAAATTATGACAATTATTGCGAACTTGATAATAAAAGCACGATTAACACTGGCTGCGACCAGATACTACAAAATATACGGATGACCGGAGGGCGTACAGACTCCTACATAGGCTTGGTTAGGTGCATCGTGTCGTCATTCACAAATGGCATTTTATGTGCTCAACAACCGGAGTGCACACAAACAATATTAAAGCTATGTGGTCGAGGCTGAAAGAGTTTTTGGGACCCCATCGTGGCTCCAGAGGCCAACTATTCTGTAGCCATATGGATGATTTCCTCTACTGCATGGATTACGGTTTTAGAACCCCTGAACTTCTTTCTAACCTTGAAAAGTTTTTGAACCATGTACAAGAGGTGTATCCACTTTATTTCCTTGGTTTTGTATAACATATTTTTACTCTGTACTGACTGTTTGCTGATTGGCTGATATTTCTCAAGGTCGCTTAAGACTCGTTCAAAGGTCGTTCATAAATTATAGTCTCGCGCATGTATTGGTTTATCGAACTTATTTTACTAATGTATGAGAGCACTTTGACCGTTAGGCTACTCGATTTTAAACCATGGAGTATTTGATTCAAATTTCACTCCATCTGTTTCCTTAATTCATTTGAGTTGGATGCCAATATGAAACTGGTCAATTGCAGTCCTAAGTAGCAATAGGAAAATATAAGTAAAACAACACTAGGCGAATTTAAATAGAGCAAGAACAGACATTGATGCAGAATAGTATGAATTCATATTATTTCGAGGTTTCTCGTCAGCTGCTTACAAACCAAAATTGTGATAGAATTTTTACATGGAGACAGTGTGAAACAATTGACATAAATGAGTGTAAATAACTTGATTACAATAATAACTATATATATATATGCTAGAAACTGGTCAGAGGTCAAAAGAGGGGGTTTAATCCAGGGTGGGTGGTGTAATAATTTAGTGAAGTTCATAAATTGTGTGATAATTGTAGACATGAATGGAATTAAATAATGATAAGGTAGATTACGTAATAATAATTAAATAGGGTTTGGAAAGTTAAGATGATTTAAGAGGATCAGGTGGTGGAAATGTGTGAATAAAATTTATTTTAAGAATTAGGTAATAGGGGGGGGTATAAAATAAATGAATAAATGAATAAAATAACCAAAACAAAACAAACAGAAACAAAAAGATTACCAGGGTAGTGATAAGTTTATTTAAGTCTCTTTTTGGATGCATAAGTCCGGTTTCAGTTTCTTAATTGCAATGGCTTCAGCAAAGCGGAGAGCGGTACTAGTTCTTTGTCTACTAATAATTTTAAACGCGCGCATAGTATCGGCGGTATGCCCGGTGTCAAGTAGATGCCGAGCTATTGCACTGTTAAAAGCTTTAGTCCCTCGCAGCGTCAAGTTCTTCGGAATATGCTCAGAAATGCGAACCTGTACCCTTTTCTCAGTTCTTCCAATGTATGTGCTAGGGCACGTACATGTGAATTGGTAAATGCAGTTGGAGCAACTGAGGGGAGAGGACTTGTCGATTTTCGTTTGTTTCAGTGAGCAGTATGTTTTCCATAACGTAGTCAGTTTGGCTGCCGGGTAGGTCACTTTTAAAGCGGAATTAATTCTGTGATTGGTAATTCCGGTGACTTCATCTCATTTGAATCGCAAGGATAGGAAGCAGCTTTTCTTTTCAACTGTATCATGCTTAATCGGAGGGTTTGTATTAGCATATTTGTGGATGAATTCATCCGGATATGCATTTTCACGTAGGCATTTGGTGATTGTAGTAATTTCTTCTTCGAGGAATTCTTTTGAGCAGATTTTTCGTGCGCGGTCATACATTAAATACTTCATTTGGAAATTTTCCATGAGTTGTCCTTTGCATTCTCCCTCATTCTTCCAATTCTCTTTTTTTATGTTTCCCTTTCTCTTTTCTTCAGTTTATTCTCCTCAACTTTTTGCTCCCAGGCATTCCATTTCTGATTTGTGTTGCGTACTACTTATAATACATAGTTGTGGCTCTAAATATATGGTTTTCCATTATTTGTTTAGCATAAGATCTATCTTAGAACTGTCATTTGTTATTTTTTGATAACTAGCTATTTTATTTTATTAACGATAATAAATAATAGTGTATTTCAAACAAAATTATTGAACTTAGATATCCCAAGTAGTTTGTCGTTAACATCTTTGGTCCCAACACTGGCTGACACGTATTCGCTACTGTAGAGAAAGACATCAGCATTACACAAGCCTGATAAGTTTATTGACAGCTGACTAGTGTGTTATTCACATTTCCTTTTCTTCATACTAACATTATGAAAGCGGTTGAACTTCTCTAAAGTTTCGGAATATATATAGAAACTTGTCCATTTATTTTTGCTTCATAAAACTCTGTTATGGATATCTGGAGACGATTAATTGGTACTGACAATAATAATTATGCAACAGTGTATTAATCGACGCTACATATAAGTTTGTGCCATACAATTTGTTTCCTTGATAATCTAGTTTCGAGTTTTTTTGTTTAAGTGAAAGTTTGTCATAATTTATTATTTTCAAAATTTTTTTACATTATAGACTGTTTACATAATTTAGACTTAATTCAAAGTGAATTTACGGAATTACTTAATGTTCTGCTACAAATCAACAGTATTAATCAGGATCATACAAATTATAATAACGATAAACACAATTATTTCAATCAAATCAAAGAGCATTTATCTAAGATTCATAATCAGTTAAAATCTATGTCTATTGAAGTAACAAATTTATCGAACTCTCTGTCGAATGATTACAATAATGATGACATCATGTCGTCGACTGATGTGATACAGAAAGAAATGGAAACCACTTTTCAGGCTATCACAGCTGCAGAACAGAAATTCCAGGTAATCATCTCTTTTTCATCAATTTATGAACTGGGGCTAGCAGTGAGATCCAGATTGCTTGTTCCATCTTGTTCGGGATTCTTCAACTAAGTATGTTTGGATCCCGATGTTGATGTTCATACTGATATTCAAACCAAGCAACTCGCTTTTAAAGGCTACACTTTATCAAAAAATATACATTTCGTTTTTTTTTACTAATTAAAATGCTGAATTCAATCATCATTTAGTCACATTTAGTCACACATAGGGACACTCGTCGTTGCCTCTTCGTCGTCTCTGCCTATTCTCCCACTGACTGCAGCTCAGATGATGTAAAAGATGAGTTTTACAGAAAGCTTTCGGACCTTCTCCGAAAAGCTAAGCGCTCGGATGTAGTAATAGTGGCCGGTGACTTTAATGCTCAAGTAGGTAAACTAAGCGATAAGGAAAGACACCTAGGTGGATCCTATGGTGTCGTGGCTCAAAGAACAGATAATGGCGACCGTCTGTTGCAGCTATGCTCAGATAACCGCCTGTTCCTTGTAAATACTAACTTTAAGCATAAGGAAAAACATCTTTTAACATGGCGACCCCCTAATTCGTCCCAACGTTGGACCCAAATAGATCACATCGCTATCAGCCACCGATGGAGGGGCTCGATAGAAGACTGTCGCTCATTCTGGAGCACATGCCTAGATTCAGATCATGCTCTAGTGCGAGCGCGTATTTGCTTGCGTCTTACTGGACGTAGGAAAGATCCTGCAAGGAAACCTCTTAGGGCCCTACTTAATGATAGTCAAGCTAAGAATATATTTCAGGAACAACTAGGAAAACAGTTAGGCAGCCATGTATGTGATGCCCACCCCGAGGCAGCATGGAATGATATCCGAAAAGCTGTGGAAACAGCAATGATATCTGCTAGTAAGGTAAACCGTAAAGTTAGGGAGCAACACTGGATCTCAGCAGCATCTATCGCACTGATAGATGCTCGAAAACTCCTTCCACCTGGCTCTGAACATAATGAAGAGCGGAGTCAGCTTAAGCGCAAGCTGACAAGAAGTCTACGCAATGATCGCGAACAGTGGTGGGTAGCGAAAGCAAGAGAGATGGAAAAGGCAGCGGCAATAGGTAATAGCAGACAATTGTTTAGACTCGTTAAGGAAACCGGAATTAGGAACCCGACCGTTAGCGAAACAATCTCAGAGAAAGATGGACATATTATTCATTCTCAATCCAGGAGATTGGATCGATGGGCAGAACACTTTAGGGATCAGTTCAACTGGCCTTCAGCCACACTTCGGTTTCCCACGATCTCCAGTCAACCTGAATGGCAAGTTAATGTAAGTCCTCCGTCCCTTTACGAAGTTGAAAAAGCCATAGGAAATCTGAAGCGAGGGAGAGCAGCAGGCCCTGACAGGTTTACTCCTGAGATTTTTAAGGATGGTGGTCCAGTATTAGCAGCAAGATTAACTGAGGTCTTAGGTAGAATTTGGGAACTGGACGTAATCCCATCTGACTGGTCTCAATCACTGATTGTGCCAGTTTTTAAGAAAGGACAAAAGTCCTCTTGTGACAATCACAGAGGAATCAGTTTGACAAATATAGTATCTAAAATATTAGCCTCAATCATACTTCGACGCCTAACTAAAGCTCGTGAAGAGCAGACTAGAGAAAACCAGGCCGGTTTTCGACCTGGACGTGGTTGTATAGATCAGATATTCACACTACGTCAGGTTCTAGAACACAGACACACATTCAGACGCCCCTCAATGGTAGTATTTCTCGACCTTAGGGCGGCATTCGACTCCGTTGATCGTGAGGTTCTATGGCAGTGTTTGTCACTGAAAGGAGTACCAAAGAAGTACATTAACCTTATAAAGGCTCTCTACTCGAACACAACTGGTAGAGTGAGAGCTTATGGTGAACTGTCATCAGAATTGATCACCTCAAGTGGTGTTCGTCAGGGCTGTCCACTCTCCCCATTCTTGTTCAACTTTGTCATTGACGTACTTTTAGAGATAACACTCTCCTCATCTAAATTTCCAGGGGTTGAACTTCTACCAGGAGGTTCACTTGTTGACTTAGAATATGCAGATGACATAGTTTTATTTGGTGAAGACGCTGACAAAATGCAGAGTCTTCTGACCACTCTAAGCAACAATGCAAGCATGTTCGGGATGCGATTCTCTCCCTCGAAATGCAAAATGTTGCTTCAGGATTGGGTTACATCGACACCCGAACTAGTGATAGGGAGTGAAGTAGTTGAGTGTGTCGACCGCTTCACTTATCTTGGAAGTCTCATCAGCCCTTGTGGTTTGGTGTGTGACGAAATCTCAGCACGGATACAGAAGGCTCGACTAGCTTTTGCTAACTTGCGTCATTTATGGCGTAGGCGAGATATCCGTCTATCAACCAAAGGACGTGTTTACTGCGCAGCAGTTCGTTCCGTCCTACTTTATGGCAGTGAAACATGGCCGTTAAGAGTAGAGGATATCCGTAGGTTACTAGTATTCGATCATAGGTGTCTTCGAAACATTGCTCGTATATCATGGGACCATCGAGTAAGTAACACAGTTGTTAGGAAACGGGTACTAGGTAAAGATGGCAAATCAATTGATGACGTAGTGAAACTTCATCAGTTGAGATGGCTGGGACACGTGTTACGTATGGCCAACGACCGACTGCCTCGACGTGCTATGTTCAGTGGTATAGGAGTAGGTTGGAAGAAAGCTAGGGGCGGCCAAACCAAAACATGGCTCAAGTCCATGAAGTCACTGACAAGTGAACTGAGTCATGTTGGTAGGTGTAGACTACCTGGTTGGGGACCGCGAGATGACAGCAACCGATGGTTAGAGACCCTGAATGACATGGCTCAAAATCGTTCGCAATGGCGCAGGTGCATCCACTCTCTGTGTTCTCCCAAACTCTAATCTTCTGAATTCTTCATGTCCCTTTTTCCCTCTTTGCAAATTTCTTTCACTGGATTATACTCTTTAAATAACATCTCCAAACCCTAATCTTCCCGATTACTGCTTATACTCTTGCTACCTCTACCACTACGGGATTTGAATCGACCACTGCATCTCTGTGCTAATGTGGTGTGGCAACTCGAACTGATGTACGTACGTACGATGTTCTACGTTGTTACTGACTGACTGACTGACTGATACCTCGTTTATTTCCATACTTATTGACGCTCATCAATGAGACATTTCTTTAATACTGAAGATACTCGTTGTTTATTGTTTGAAATTATTATCGAAACTATTCATTAAAATGAGAATTTATACTTCGACTTAATATGAATATAAGTTCACGAAAGACGTAATTTCTCTAACTAACATAAATAATGTATTGATGTTGAACAATGTCACTTAGAGACTCTAGCTACTAATTTCTGACATCCCAATCAATTGGTCATTAGTCCAGTTCAACCATCCTTGATTTCGTTTACCTTGTATGTATATCGTGGAACTTATTACCATTAGTTATTAAAACTAGTTGGGATTTCTCAAAACTTCAACTTTATATGTTAACATATTCTTTTATTTTAGGGATTAATTGAGGAATCTAAAAAAAATTCAATCAACAATGAAAATCTTCAAGTGAATTCACTTATATTAGATTGTTGTTCTGAATTGTTACTTTGTGTTGGTGATCTAGTGAAACAATCTAAACTGATTCAACAAGAGTTTGAAGTATGTATATCTGTGTATACTTTTATCGATTTGGTTACTTTTACACTCTTGTTTTATATATGATTATTATATTTTGATGTAAATCATTTAGCTTACAGATTCTTTTCTTCTTAAATATTTGTGTTTATTAGTTGTTGGTTGATAAGTTGACATATTTTAAGTTGATTTGAAACACTGAGGTGTATTGTATTATCCTAATATTATGGTTTTCACCTTATAGGTAGTTCGGAAAACACTGAAAAAATAATATGTTTAAAAATTCCTCATTTAGATGATTTTAGAGAAGAAAACACAAAAGAAATCATAATAGGTTGTAGTGTTAGTTTGACTGGAAAGTTGTCATTATCATTCTCTCGTCATCATCTACGCCTGTTGTGATATGAAGTAGCTTAGAGGATACAATACCACTAAAACATCTACCAGAGCTGCAAATCTCTACTGTTTCTTATACCATTAATTCATTTGAATAGTTAAATTTTGAGTCACTAGCAATTGAGGTGTTTGGAAATTAACTTTTTAAAGCTTTGACGGCGTAAGGTTTAGAGCTTACTAGTAATAGTTATCGTAGGTATTGGATAAATATATACCGGTTCGAGTTACAATTGGGACAGTACGAGAGAAAATTAACTAGATGTAAGACGACGACACTAACAAAATAATAGGTAAAAACAAGTGTCTAACAATGGTGATCAGTATCCGTCTTATTTTACTGCAGGTCAAGTAAAATTGTAATTTCAGGCTATTAAAATCTGATCCAATAGTTGAATGATTATATATTTCTAGGAGAAATAAGCGACGTGCCATGAGTCTTGTGAAGTGTGTTTGTATAAAGAAGTTTAGCGTTATGATAAACTTGGGAGCCTGTTACATCTGAACGAAGAATAAATGAATGGTAACTGCTAGGGATTATTTATTGAATGTTATTACATATATTCTTATCGGATAGCTATTAAGTAACTACATTATATGTATATTCATATTCCTTTTATCAATAACTTTCATCTGGTCTATTGGTTACTGTTATACGATTTACGATTCTTAATTTATTCCCAATTTATTAGTTAATATCTCCCATACTTAGGACCAGTAGTCATAACACAGCCGTCACGTTTTGACTTATAATGGTTCTTAGATGGTGGTTGGAGGTAGTCAACAGGAAACCCTGGACCCGGGTTTCGTGCTACTTGGCACTCGTCAGCAAGGTGTACCAGTACTCTTGAGGGAACTGGTGCTCCCTGGCGGATTCGATCTCGTGTCACCCAGCTTCACAGTCAGAGACGTTACCACTGAGCTATCCGAGCACCAGTTCCCTCAAAATCACAGGTACACCTTGCTGACGAGTGCCAAGTAGCACGAAACACGGGTCCAGGGTTTCATGTTGACTACCTCCAACCACCATCTAATCTCAATACATAGTGCCCGCAATGTCGAGACACCTAGACTGGTGGCCACATTGCAACATGATCGATAGCATTCGATCTGCACTAATAAGAACTAGACAAGCATGAGATTGATCACCACCCAGTGATCAATCAATTGTGATTATAATGGTTCTTCACCTGATGTCAATCTACGTTAAAATTATTTTGTCGCTAAACAGTTTAGAACTTTACTCTTCACACATATAACCTTCATTCTCATTTAAAGCGATATGTGTTATCGTCTAACCCGGCAAAACTTAGTGTTGTGTATGTGCCTAATTTTTCTGTACATAACTAAATTCTAAGAACTTTTCCAAAGTAAACGTTTTAATCACCATTTTGAACAGCTTAAACCATGCGCGTCAAATTAGATCTCTTATCCTGTAGCCCGTTTTCAAGAATATCTCAAGAGATTTTTAAAAATATTTGGCATTTCACATTGGATCAGCGTTAGTTTGAGCCACAGCTAACTTTCCATGTTTTCCTTGTCTCCTCAGCTGTTCGAGTTAGACATTTATTAGTAATAGCTAGAACATATGTTGTCGGCCTTTTTTTTATTGTTTTAGGATTTCGAGTTTTTGTCACGCGTAACACATCTTGAGATATATTTGTGGGGTAATAGTAGTTTATTAAACTGTTTTATAACATTCGACAATAAAGGAAGACCAAGCTTTTAAGGATAAACGACGCCGTTGAATTACAGCTAAACATAAGTCAATGTAAGAGCCATCAACCGTTAAAATGACTTTGTAAATGTATCATATATTTTTTTAAGTTATTGCTGTTATCTAAGTTAATCGAATTGTCGTGCGTAGGTATATTTAAATTAATTTAATATCTTATTATACATCTATTCTACAGTTGAAGCAGATTCGTTTAACGAATAATACAAAGAACTCGTACTTGCTCTTTTTAACGTTGTTTTTATTCTCTGCCTATTATATGAATTATTCTTTCCTAGAATTCGCCAACGTCCGTTGAGTTTTATAAACCTTATAATCGTTGGACCAAGGGTCTTTTATCGGCTGCTAAATTTGTCGGTGCTAGTGCTAATGTCATGGTGTAAGTTGCCCTGTTATACTGTATACTTCTAGTTTTCCTACTCAATCAAACTAAGCGAAACCTCGTTATTTATGCCTCTAATCTATGTTCACTTTTATTATCTAATTAGATTGTGCAAACGAATTTTGCTAATTAATTAACATCTTTTAAATAGATCCGAAATCTGTTTATCCGGTAAGAAATGTGTTATAATCAAGACATTTGAGATAGATCTAGGTAGCCTCTAGTTTTCTGACAACAGCCTTTTGGCAACTTAAAGTAGCTACTGAAATTATTGTTCATTTCCAATTAGATTAATTAAATTGCGGAATCATAACTTTTCAATATAGGATTTGACAATAAACCGTTTCAAAGTCCGTCATAAATTAGCAGTGTATTATACCTTATATTGAAAGCGTATTGAATAATCTTCCTCTGTAACCAGTAACATGTTATTTTCAGTTTAAGTGGAAATTATAAGTAATCAAAATTAACGTTAATATAAGGGAACTTCGTGATGCTAAAAACTTGATATTTCGAAAAAAGAAAGATTCCTGTATCCCATGAATTTAATTTGGGTACGCAGACTGTTCGATTCATAATATTCAATGTCATATTGTCCAGTCCTTAATCCTAATTGAATTCTGTCGGTTACCTTTTGGTACATCTGTTATGGTAATTAACTCGACATGATGATTTAAGTATTTTTTTGGTTTCTGTAAATCATCAGTATGTCGTGAACCAGAGTTTTGTTCCAGTAAACGCTCATCAGAAAGGTATATTCAAAAATTTTAGGGAGCTGGCGATCCTTATGAGACTAGCCTAATTACCAGTTGCCGCGGTTCGTAGCGTTACCATTAAATAGTTAGGGATGTTTCTTACTTCGTATAAAATTAAAAAAGCTTATACAATCAATGATCAATTAGTAGTAACCAATGTTTTATTTATTCGTTAATGATAATCGAGTTCTGCGTTATAAATTTGATTATGTCTTCAACTTACGTTTACCAAAACTAAACTGACATTGTCATTAACACTACTTTTAGTTTGTTTCACGATCGAATGGTTAAATAATGTGGACATCTAATTTGAAACCATTCTACATGATCTAATCTAGACTTCTGAAATCCGTATTAAGAAAAATTCAAGAGACATGGGTTACTGTTATATTTTCACATTAGCTTTTATACAGAACTTACGGTTTCTTATTACGTTATCTTTTCAATACTATGGTAACTTTACCACAATCAATAAAATTATTATGGAAAGTTGCGAATTCTCTAAAGAAAAATAATTTGTCTTTATTATGAGAGATTATCGAATCTCTGTCTACAATTTTGTAATCACTACTTTCGTCTACATCAGTCACTCTTCAATGATGATGGTGTTAATCACATAATACCCAACGTCCACTGAATTAAACAACTTCCTCAACGGTGTAGAATGCTCATTCACAATGATTTCCGGATTTTCTGTGGCGTTTATACTAGAATAGTAATTTTTCACTGCTTACTCTCTCAATGTTTATCATGAAACATCTTCATCATTATACTGTTTATTTTCTATGAAGATGTTTAACTGTCGTTTTTTCACATAAAAAATGTTTTTAAACAGTGAAATAGCTGATTCCATAGTTTGTGGAAAAGATGTAAAATTAGAACGCTTAATTGTAATTTCACAAGAGATAGCTGCTAGTACAACTCAATTGGTTTATGCTACTCGTGTAAAAACTACTTCACAATCTGAAATGTTCAATAAATTACAGTTAACTAGTAAAGAAATATGCAAGTGTACTGGAAATTTGATTGCATGTGTAAAAAAGGCAATTGAAGCAAAACATATAGAAGGTATGATTTTTTGAGTTTTTTTTTTACAAAATCTCACTTATATGTTACATAACAGTTTCTGACAATTCTACCAAGAAAATTAGGTTAAATGAGGATACTACTGAAAACGGATACTAGAATTACATTAGGTGTTCAGATCATCAGTGATAGATGGTTTGATTTTCCAGTTTAAGGAAATCTAAGCCTCTGAATTAGTAATAAAATAAACAATAAATTATTTCAATAGTTGAGAGCATGAGTCTGTTGAAGCTAGGCCACCATGTAAAACCTGGAAGCAAATAAATTATCTATAAAACTACAATCAGACAAATAAATTGAGAATTCTTAAAATATTTATTTATTTATTTCATAGAACCTTAGCAATTGTAAATGAAACGTGATATTTTTTGGTGAATCAAACTGATTGATATAAATTCTTTTAGTTAATATATAGATTGACAGAATCTTTAATGGTATTGACCAAATAAATATGTTTAAGATTATACGATCACAAATTTAAACCACCTGACAAGTTAATAAAATGCATTATTTAATGAATTTTCTATTTTGTTCGGGATTAAAATTGCTCAAAAGTACATACTGTCAACTTACAGAATGTAAAAATTGCATTTCTTTTTGATGACATTTTGAGGGATTGTATGAAAATAATTTCACAAGCATCTTCCATTTGTGATTATCTCACAATAACGTTGGTGATTATACAACTTCTCCGGTTCTACTAGTCATGAATTCCTGCTATTCATAACGCTGAATACAAATAATAACGGTGCAACTTGGTAATCAGGTACCATTTCTAGTTCACGACTTTATTAAACAACTTTATGTCAGTTAGGATAGCCGGCTGATCTACATAGAACACATTGTAAAATCCCGAACTAAAATTTAAATGTTCTGTCCTTGAATCATTGAGTCACAAGTCTGTTGTCCTCTTGAATTAAATATTAGATGAGGTGAGAAAACAAAAGATTTTTCAAAGTTGTAGATACACATTTTTGTAAGATAGGATTAGTGAAAAATTTTCAATACACGTGATTCACAACTAAGTCATTCCAACCACTTAAAATACTGAACTGAGAAACCACCTTTTAGGCTGAATTCTTATCAGGGCAACAAATACTCAAGAGTCCCGAATATAGAATTTCCTATAGTTAGATATTTTAATGTACACATGGGGAATATTGCTTTAGACGTTATTTTATATTTTCTATAATATCGAATACATTTAAAATAGTTTTCTTGATAAATTTAGATAAGACAATGAAAAGACAACGTTTATTAGAACTATGTTGTATATTACCACATATATTGTCTGTTGTCTGGTTTAATTAACAGTCCACAGTTCTAGCTTTTTAATAGTTCATCAAGATAGAAATAAGCAAACTGTTTAGGAATCTCTATCTACCATTGAAATGCTACTACAGCGTGTATTAATAGATTATCAGAATGATACGGATAACAGATAGCTAAGTGGGTTAATCTAGGGTTAATCTGTATTTTAGTCATTCATTATAGACCACCTGTGTATGTATTTAACTTATCATAAAAGCTTGACACATTGTACCTGAAGAATTCTTCGATACTTATTCGATGTATTGATATCAAATAAGCGTAGGATTTCAGAAACGAGAAGTTAAATAAATTAATCATCTATGTAACCAGAAACTTGGATTCCTTATTAATATTGACTCTCAATAAACGAATGAATAATTATGCTAGCCTTTAACCTATTGAAGCAAATTCTAATTACTGATGTAATCCATAAAAATTAATTTATGATATGGTTTGAATAAATACTCAGTATCCTACCTGCTGTAGTGAACATAGACTTAGCAGGGGTGACAAATATATTGTGTAATTTAAAATTACAGAGTGCCTTCGTAAAATATGCAAGCTATACATGAATTACATTATTTGCACATCTTGCTTTGGTTGTCCCTTACATGCTTCATGATTCTTTCAATTCTTTTAATATTACAATTACTCTCTGTTAACATTCCTATTCTCTTCAATTCAATTTTCTCCATCTTTCGCTGGCAGGCATTCCATTAATGATTGATGTTACATACTGCTTATATCTGTTAACATAGGTAGCATATACCATACTATTACTATAATTATAGCATATACTCTAAACCCATTTGCTTTCAGATTACTGATTGGAAATTGTTTTCATGTTAGATTCGACTTTTTCCTGAAATTTAAATAATCATTCTTTTGTTGATTCTATTACCATATTCTGCTCATATTGTTTATTTTTCTTTTAAAAATACTTTAGAACTTGATTTTAGTAGCCTTACACTAACTCAAGCAAAACGTATGGAAGTTGAATTACAAGTGAAAATTATTGAATTAGAAACATCGTTAACAAATGAACGACAACGTTTAGCTAAATTAAGAAGAGATAATTATCAGTTATCAGCTGAAGTAGAGGTAAATTATTGATATTTTGTATTGTTTTAATAACTATTCTCTACAAATATAGTTAGATTTAAAATGTATTTAAAAGTACAAATTAAGAGTATAATTTCAAAGTACTGAGTTGTAGTGAGAGAATGGTCACATCAGTTATTATTGTTTACTAATTAAATGTTTATTTCATCACAGAGCATCTGTTTGAGTCATTCCAGACCAACTACAGTGAATCAAAAATTGATTCAAATAGTCATTTTACTTATGTTTATTTATGAAAAAAGTATAGTACAATCTAATCACATATTTATATTTTGCCTTATTGTCTTCTTTTGTATTACTGTCTGTCTGATATGATTTCTAGTACTATAAATATCTTACCAAGTAATCTTATGATCAGATTATTCCCTATGTATTGGACTAATATGTATCACACCGTCACCTTAACTTTATTATTATTGGATTGTCTACAGAAAGAATAATTTTATCCATTAGGTTTTCATGTATTTGAGATCATCGGAATTACCGACCAAATACTTTTAGACGTATTGGAATCTCAGCATTCCTAAACTTTATTTCGAAACTAACCAGTCATATGAAAAGAAATAGTCAAAGAAAGTAGATGTAAAGTCAAAATATGGTTTAGAACATCAGTGTATTTTTTGTTTTTCAGTGATATTTATGATTTTGAAGCTATGCAAAGCATTTGAGTTTCATTTCTTTCCATCTATAAATGATAATATTTGTGATACCATCTTACAGTAAATGGGGTAGTATTTTTTTTAAAATGAAGTACTTATTAAATTAACACTGATAAGCTTTGTAACTGGTCCTTTTATTGTTGAATAATCTCTGAGATATCTTTTTCTTCAGTATTCAAATGATAACAACCAATGTTAGGTAAGGCAAGTGATTTGGAAAAACTCAAACGTTGACAGGATTTAATTTGAAATAAAAACAGTTCGAATGGTATAGTAGATTTCTTCAGAAAAATTTCCGCTACTAATCTACTTTTCAATAATTTGCGTTTAATATGGCAAAAAGTTTGATTTCTTCACATTTCAATAATGCAATGAGAAGACTAAGGTTTATTTGTGTGATACATTTAAAACAATCTGATCACACCTATAATTGTTAAGACATATAAAACGTCAACTAGACAAATTAAAAGGTGGGCGGAAACAAAGACAATGATAACGTGTACACAAGCAATGTGAAAACCACATTGGATAATAAATTAGTATTACCAAGGTATATTAAGAGTAAGAACAAATCGTTTTTGAACATATAAAGGGGGTTTCAGTTTTCGTATAGACAAGGCTTCAATAAACCTTAGTATACGCCCTTGAAAACTTTTGTACAAAACTACAAAGGCTGACTTGATATAAACCTCATCACCAGTCTCAATCAAATGTTCCGCAATGAAGGAACATATTTTTCTATCCTATCATATTTGACCATTGGAATTAATTGGTTCTTTTGCAGTCATTTAGGTACGTGTTCAGCTCTTCCTTTCATGTAAGATAAATATGCGTTGGACTTGTTATGAGTGCTTATCACCTATAACTATGGTGTCATACACGTACCGCTTATACAAATACATCTTTTGAATTGAGTCTTCAACTAGTGTTTCCACATATCCTATAAACACATCTGCCAACAATTGTCCTAAAGGACTACCCATAGTTATGCCATCAATCTGTCGAAAATGCTCACCCTCAAGTGGATTTCACATTGTCAGCAAATAATAATAATAAATCTTTAAGAGATTTTACAGAAAATGTCAATTGGAGGGTATTTAATAACATATAGTCATACAAAATACTAAGAGGTACATTTGTAAATAAAGCGTTTACATCAAAAGAGCACATTGCTTTAGTTTTTGTATTGATGTCCATTAAGTATTTAATTAATCCAAATAAGCCTTTCAAAGAATACTCAAAAAATTGGCTTCGGATAAGGTTTAATACTTTTGTCAACCATTTTGCAAGATTATATGTAGGTGACCGACACATTGATAGAATTGGATGTATGGGGGTATTAGGCGTGTGGATTTTTGGTAATCCATATAGATTAGGATACACCTAATCCATATGTTTTAACAAATTATATTTCTCTTTGCTAACTGCATTCATGTTAAGCACTTTTATTAGGTTCGAGTTGCTTTTCCTCTCTAATTTACGTAATCCACCAAAGTCAACATCAGTCATAAATTTGCTTTGATTACTGAGAATGAATTACATTTTATTTTTGTAATAGGACTTATTATAATGATACCTGACTCTTTATCAGGTTTTACCATAATAATATCAGCATTATATGTGTAGTCAGAATGTTCGAGGTGTACTGCGCAAATATATCGCATAATTCTGATAACCTTTGTCTTCTCATTGCATTATCGAAGGAAATAATTGTCTTATACTTCACATATATTAATTGCTTTATTTCCAAACAAAGTACATAATTATATTTTTAAAACACATAATGTTAATTATTCAGTTGTGAAAGAGCGATAACTTTTTTAAAAAATGGTTCCGAAGGCTGTTTTAAACTTTCAGTAATGAAATCACCAACCCTACATATATGAAAATAATTTGCTATACCGCAAAAATTAGAGATATACGGTTGATTTGTTCGAAGATAAATGTTTTAACATTAGCTGGAAAATTAATGTCAGTGAAGCTCCGCAGAGAAGTGAATTTGACCTGTTTCCATCAGTAGGTGTAGAACCTAACCATATCGAATTATATCGTTCTGTGTAGCATGTAACACTTACCTCCTATAGGTACTTGTTGAAAATAAGTCAACTTTACTCTTTTACGCACATTCACTCAGGATGGTTATCCTATTAACATCAAGGTGATTATCAATTATTGTTAGGATTACTATTCCCTGACCTAGGAGGGATACACGTCATCGTCATCATCCCAGTTGGGGTATTATTACTTTATGTAAATACTTCACTTTGCTTTTGTTCTGCAAATTTACTTCACTGCACCTCCATTCTTTTAATTATCTTCATATTTTCTGTAACTGTTTTATTTCTCAATCCATCAATCTACTTACATGGTAGGATTTCTTGTTTGAAGTAATGACATGCATGAATGTGAATGACTAGCTTATTTTTTTGAAAATTTAATTGTTATTACGTACGAATTGAGGTAAATACAAGTTTTTGTTCGATAACATCAAGTGAATTGCTTAGACTAGTAAATCTTTTTTAGTGTGATCACCTTGGTTATTACTTTTTTTGAAAAGAGATCCATTAATTTTCTTGCCAGAAAGTATGGGCGTTGTTTACATCACCGTTATTCGTGATAATATGCTTATTTGATGTTTGTTAAAAGCATGATTTGTTTGTTTGTTCATTTTGTACATTACAGTAATACAGGGTTATATTGGCTGTCTGCTAGTCTAATTAGTTGATTGACAATTTTTGTAACCCGAGGATTACCCTAAAGATATTTTTACATTTGAAAACCAATACGTCATTTGTAAAGCAACTTGAAACTAGCATGACGTAACCGAATTTTAAAGGTCTCTATTGACGTATATTCCTAATCCTATTTGATATTAGAACCAGAATCTTTCAGGTTATGAAGGATTTCAGAAAGCATATCAGTTTCAATTCTTTTCCCAGATATGTTATCCTTGTCGTAAAGTAATTTGTTTACGCAAACGTCTTGTCAATATATGCGTATGCGCTAACCCATTTGTAAGTAATTAGCAAATCTAGTTATAGAGTATATAAAATTTTTAATCATGTTTTTATTTTTATTTTATTCTGTCCAAATAAATTCTTTACATGGATACACATGTCTGCCACTACCAGTTGATCAATGAGAGATAATGAAAAACTCCCAATGAAAATTTAACAAATAAAGTAATCTACAAATCTACCTTCCAAATTAAATGTAAATAGATTTATTTCAACAGCTTATCTACCTACGTTATTATCATTAAAATTTGTTATCTTACTACTAATACCACTCCAGTAATCAGTTAATAATGCATACCTAAGTCTTTCATTATTCAAAATAACTCCCCCCATTATTGTGGGTATCAACGGCACAAGGAAGAGTGACATGAAATCGTATATTCAACTTTGTACTTGATTTTCATCATTTTGTTATTGTATGATCTCATATTGATTATATTTAGTGATATGACAGTTTTCTTTCTGCCTAGAGAATGGAAGAATGCTTTTTCTCTCGACTTCGTCCCGTTCTTTTTTCTCTTCCTTTCTTCTAGAAAAATAGAATAAATAAATGACTTGCCATACTTTTTTACTTGTCTATTCATATTTGTTGTGCTCTTATTCATCAAGCTTATTTGAAAATATTGATTTTTCACCCGTCGTAACACGTCTTGCGAAACTGCTGAACTTTCCCGGTTATTTTACAGCATGATAATATCTATTTGGATCGACAATATAGTATTGCGTGATTCCTTTCTGATTGAATGCTTATTATTACCATTATAATTATGCTAAACAATGATATAATTGCACTAAATTATTTTAACAGCGCACCTTATCTATACTTTCACTTATGGATATGGATAACTCGAAGATTGGGATTAGTAATTAAAGAATATATTTCCTATGTTTTGGATACTAATCTCTCTGTGGTTATATTTGGATAATGATTTTGAAACAAAAATGGATCTGGTGGTGTATTTTATAGCTCATCGGTAAATGGCGTTAGAACTAGTACAATGGAGACAAAAATGTTTACGATGGATTCCATTTGTGTCAGCTAGATTTTGTAGTTTAGTTTTGAAGTGCTAACTCTATAACTTACAGGTTTCTAATATCAACTGTGCATTCCCCGATAGTTTTTAACAAGTGTAATTATCAACCTTACCAAACAATTAGACAAGCAGTGCTAGTTCTTTTTTTAACAAATAGCACGACTTTCTCCTGACATCACTCTTCACTTTATCTCCCCTTTGGAAAATGGCTTTATATTTTGCCCGATGAAAGAGCATGTCTTTCTAACATGAAATGAGGTTGGGTTCTGCTAAACTAGAACCAAAGCTATTAAATCTGAACATCGTCTAGACATCAATTAATGACTTTGATCCTCCATTTACTGAAAGCGATGACAAACTCGTGAAGGGTTCGTTTTATTTTACTAATTAGCGAACTATCACCGTATATTATTTAAAATTGTTCGTTCAAACTATTACCAGTCAGTAACTTAAAACTGTTCAGTCTCGACAAAACTAATTATAACAATCTACCATGGGAAATGAATCTCTTGTGTAAAAGAATATGGATGTCTGGAACAATGACCCAGCAAAATGTCGATCTATAGAGGATAGTGTAACCATTTCATCACAACTTGAGTTTATCATTTGAATAAAAACAGTACTGGTGTGATGAATTCATTAGGAACTAAGTGTGGATGAACCGGTATTGAGAATTGTACAGCTTTGATATTTTTTGAGACACAACACATATGATTGGTTCTAAAAATAACGTTCTTTACTATCAAAAGTGAATGCCACATTTCCACTACTTTAAATTCAACAAAATCTAATTATTCATGAATATCACATTGTTCGGAAACCAAACTTAATCATTTTCAGTAACTAGTATTGTACAAAATACCAAATACGTAGGAGGCAGCACCAGCTTAAGTACACTCTCACTGAACAGCAGTTACGGATTATTATTACAAGGTATTTTAAGACCTCAGTAAGGGGTCTGTTAAAAACGATCAATTCAATGAGTCGTAGCATCAGTCCTTGTGAAAGCTAGACAGGGTAATTAAACAGTTAAGCTCGCAGGATACAGCAATATTTTACCAACATACGACAGTAAATACTAGGAAGTATGTGCTTTACGCGCATTTATCAGTGGTCAAAATAGACTTAGTTGGTTAGGGGTCAAACGAAAAGGTCCATTTTTTAAAATTTACATAAATCTAGTCTGACAGTAAAAGCTGACGGCAAGGACACCATCTTAACCTTTATCTCCTGTGAGTCCGGTTTCAGCCTAACAAACTATCAAAACCAGCAACAATAAGATGAATACAAAAATGACTACCATCTCTGCCAGAATATTAGTTTTTTTATGCACCTTACCTTGCACTTTGGACATTCAGATGTCGTTCAAAATATGTTTTTAGTGGCCCGTGGGCCTGACTCCAATTAGATCGTAAGAATGTTTGTTATTACCTAACCTCGTATACAATTATCGACTTAAATCACGTTAGTCAATAACGGAATTTAGATAAGTCAATTAACGAGAATGGCCTTTGAATACATATATTTTGTATGTAAAGTGAATGTTATAGAAGAAAGCAAAATGACGCGCAGGAGAGATGGCTGGTTAGCCAACTCATTTTTAGCCAGGCGTTACTTAATATTTATAGGCAGACAAAATAAACTGCAGACATGGGATATGAAGTGTACACACATATACGCTCATATAAAAACAGTCAAGACTGATAATCGAATAATTAACAAGGTCAAAATATGACTCAAGTAGAATGAACACATTGGGCTGTCCGAAAGTTAGAATAAAGTATATGGGCTTAGCATAATAACTGACACTACATGTTCATGTCAGTCAGCTGAATACTAAGCTAATCTAATATAATCTAATTTGAGGAATCTTTAATAACTTGAAAAAATAGTGATATGATTATTTGTAGACTGCAGAAGCAACTGATTTTACTTGCCCCGTATAACCTTAACATGGACTGACATTGTTCGATATGTGGTAAGACTGTAAGTTTGTTATGCACCGACCATAAATCCATCACTGATCTAAAAACTACGTCAAAATACACCGAATTAGATGGGATTTGCATATCTGGCCAATAAGCACATTTGAAAATATTGAACTAGACAGTTGTTATAAGCTTTTCGACAACCAAATGCATGCATACAATTTGTGATGCGAACTACATCAGCCAAATTCGTAATAAATTACTGAGTTGCATACTGTTACCTGACTCACAGTTATTTGTAACTGTAATCGACAACAAATAAAAAACCCGGGTTACTATGGGTTTTCTTCAACTTCGTGATACCTATCGGTTGATCCCAGTGAAAAACGAGGAAAATACCCATCATAAACAATTCCACAAGGCTTACATACAGATGCTTGTAGACAACATTTACGACAACTGTAAGTTATCAAGCTCAAACTTCCTTTCATTCAAACTATGCAAAAAGCACGATGTCACTGAGACAGTTATATATTTATTTGAGCACATTTATATAAAAGGTCGCCAAATACATATGCGCCACTTGATTTGTGTGTGGGCTGTGATAATGCTCAGGTGCCCAGACCGTAGTAGATGGTTTCCATATGGGGGCCACACCCAGAGCATTCGACCTAAAGGTCTGATCCACAAGGCAGTGTAGCACTTTTAGGAGATGCAGTCCCGTGGTAGCCGGTAACCACTAATCAATTCATACGCCATTTACTCCCTCGGGATTGTGGAGCCCATGTGCACTATTAGTTTGGAATCAGGGTTTTCCGACTTCCCAAGGTGGATCCCCCATATCCACCAACCCGGTTAAAGCGCCGGACATTCGCTTTCCGTCCTCTCAATTTCGTAAACAACACCACCGCCGCGAGAAGACAGTGAGTAGGACCTCCCTAGCAGTGGCTGTGTACGCGTGACCATGTGAGAGCATTTCGAGAGAGAGAGAGCTGACTCCCCTCAACCTCAACTGTACAAGTAAATTTGGGGGTCACTAAGATAGTGTATCCGTTAATCGTCAGAAGCAAAAATTCCAAAGGAAACCCACCTGACCCACAGCAACGAAAACTATGATAGTAATTTCCCCTACTGTTTAGCCCGTTAATACCGACTTATTTGTTAATAACCTCAGTTTTTTTTATTATAATACACAGTTTACATATTATTCGGGATCAGAATATATTGTAATATTTTTGTATTTCACCTGAGTATTTAAAGGAATAAGTGAACGATCCTCAAGTGGATCGGATGCGATTCGAACATCCTCAACTCGGAGAGGCCAGGTTTCACAAACATTGAGCAAAACTGCTCTCACCGACGCGTTGTAGATCCGACCTTTTACAGCTAGACTGACATCACGAAGCTTCCAAAGATGGCCCAGATTGGCATAAGCCGCTCTGGCTTTCACTATACGTCCATTGATCTCATCACTCACGCCACCACCAGCACTTATGCAGCTACCCAGATACGCGAACTTATCGACTACTTTCATCTGCTCACCATCCAGGGTGAGTACAGGATTAGAATCCTGCCAGTCTTGTAGAAGTACTTTGCACTTCGAAGGTGCAAAGCACATACCATACCTACGGACACTGATTAAGTGCAGATTGCATGGCTTGAGCATTATCACACAGTAAGACAATATCATCCGCATACTCAAGGTCGAGAATTCTTTCTTCAGGCAACAGATCCACACCACCATTACTTACAGAGCTGTATCCAGAATGTCATCGATGGCAAAGTTGAAGAGTAATGGTGAGATTGGGCAACCCTGCCTAACCCCACTGCCCGAATGGAACAATGGAGAGAGGTGGTTGTATGCCCTCACTCTGCCTGAGGTGTTTGTATATAGGGCTTTTAGGATGTTAATAAACTTCTCATGCACACCCTTCTTCAATAGACAATCCCAGAGAACAGTCCTGTCCAACGAACCGAAGGCAGCCCTGATGTCAAGAAACACTACGATTGTTGGCCTTTGATAAGTATGACGGTGTTCTAACATTTGGTGGAGGGTGAAGATACCAATACATCCTCGACCAGAATGAAACCCAGACTGCTCCTCGCGAGTCAATCTTTCTCGGGTGTTGAACAACCTACGAAGTATGACGGAAGCCAAGCAATCGGAAGTAGACTTATCCGCCGATAGTTGTTACAGAAACCACGTGGACCCATTTTAAAGATAGGGACAACAATAGAGAGAGGGAGAGCCCACTCCACTTTCGGCCATACCAGGACATTTGGGGGTCCTTGTATGGTGCATTCACTGTCGCACCTGCTATGCCAAAGCTAATATTTTAATAAACTGTTGATACAAATCGCCATAATGATATCGAACAACGAACACCCCACTAGGCATAACAAGTGCGTTGGAGTAACAACTAATCTCAGAAACCAAGCAAAATAATAAATAATAACATAAGAAGTTGGAGACAATGAGGGGGATTCCTCTAGGGAACACGCTTTCGTAAATAGAAATGGAAATAGGTTTTAATGGTTCAAACAGTAGTCACGTTCGTTTGAGGAAAAAACATTCGGCACCCAAAAAATGACTATTAAAAAATATGAAACATTGTTGCAAACGACTGTAGTAATAAAAAGTCAGTCAATAAACACATTTCCATGATGACAGAGAACGACACACACTTAACAATGAAATATTGACTAGTAATATGTACTGTAGCATATCCAATTTAATTTAATTTGGCTTTAAATACACAGGGAGGTATCTTAACCTCAGTGAAAGCGTAACAAATTGATATAATTTGCAACTACAGTTCACCAACAAAGTCAAGAAAATACTTTGCGTATTTTTTCATCATAAACAATATGTACAATTTATAAAAGAGCGGTTTAATCCTTCCGATCTCTTTTACGATGAGTAGTGTCACGATTACTGATATCTGTTCCTGAGGTACCTTCACCTGGGCGTTTTTCGGCCTTTTTGACTTTGGATAAGAATTTACTAAGATTGAAGGGATCTTCCTCGTCTCTCTCAAATTGAACTGGACCATCCAAACGACGTGAATGATCGGTTCCAGAAAATTCACGATCAGGAACAAAGCGTTTAGTCTTCTTAAGTGCATCAAGGTCTGTCCCATATGCATCAGTATCCTTTTGGCGTGGGCGGTATATATGGGTTACTAATTCAGAATCACCTCTCCATGGCTTATCATAAATGTTGTACAAATCATCCGCACCTAAAACGAAGTAGACAGTTGATATGATTACTTACCTCCTTCAAAACCCGAGTCTAAACCTTTAGATTGATTGAAAAGTCTTTGATCGAATAAGCTCTCGCTTGTTGAGTTAAATCGCGGATTAGGAAGTCCAAGTGCAATTTGTTCGCTGATGTCTCGCTCTTTGTCCTTTTCAATCTTAGCCTTGGCTTCATTGTTAGAACGAGCTAAATTTCTTTCTCTAGCACGGTCTCGTGCACGATCACGCCTTAATTCTTCTCGGTCAAGTAGTCCCGGATCATTGTCTCCACCTTCAATTGCGCCAGGACGACGAAGACCCGCTCGAGATTCGCGAGCCTGCTGAGCGATTCTTTGAAGTTGCTCCTCTTTTCGTTCCTTTTCTTTCTGAGCAACTTTTCTTTCAATTTGCGCTCTCATTTCTACAGCCTCACGAGCCTTTCTGTCGGCCGTATAAAGTGCTTCTGCTAGTTTTGCAAAGTTCTCATTAATATGAACAGTTTGAAGACCACGGCCATCTGCAGCAACCCGTTTGTCTAGCGGAATGGTATATCCCCTGGGATTCTTCCAATTTGAAATACACGGGGGGATTTTCCAGTCTTGTTGTTCTTTTACTGTAACTTTCCGTGCCGGAGAATGCATCAGAGGTGGTGGGGGAGAAGGGGGCCCGCGAGGGATCTTTTGGTTAATTCTGAAAAAACTAAACCTTGAATCAGCGGAACTTACTTAAACTTAGGAGGTTCCATGGGATCTTTCTGCATTTCCACCATTCTGACGAGGCGTTGTTTAGCTCCACTATTGAAGGCAGCACCTTGTTGTGATGGTGTATAACGTATATATTCAGCAGGATTTGTTTTTTCAGCTCGGCGTACAGGTGCCGCAGCAGCAACCTTCATTTCCACTAATGATTCTAGAGCTCTACGTGTTTTTTCCGTTGTCTAACAAAATCAACAAAAATAGAAAACCTACCTCTTCGATAGTCTCTTGACTTGGTTTGTCGAATTCTGGGTCGTCATCATCAATCGGTTTAGGTAGTAAGTCTGAAAACTTCGAATAGATGATCCTGTCTTTGCTGTGTCCTTGACGAACAAGTTCATCATATCTGATTCTTCCATCTTTATCAGTCTTGATAACCAAGGCATTCGATACACTTTTCTCCTGCCCCATCCCAAGAGGATATTGAGGGACATGTATTTCTGGGAACGCCCCTCCATCTAAAAAATCCTCCTGATTGCGTGGTACCCAGTTTTTTCGATGTCCGTACGGTGGGATGGTTGATTTTGCAACGAGGACTCTTGAACCCACGTTCAAGTTTAAAGCAGTTCCATAGTCATCTGAACCCTTTTGAATTGGAGCTGGGAGTTGTCTAAAAACACATTGAATGAAGTTCCGAAAACATGATTATCCTACGGTTAAGCTTTTCCAACCCCTTAGCAAACATATTAGTTTACGCGAACATTTTCTTGGAAGTATTCATGTACTTACAAACTACCTGGCATTAATGACTGAATCCGTAAGATTTATTAGCGAAACTTTTAAACATAACGGACACAATATGGTTGTAATGCGAGCACCATTGGGTAGTTATTTACTTGTTGGGGAGTGTAAAAGCACTGTGCAACTATTAATATCAAGCAATTCATACTTACAGATATAAAATCTCATTGCATACACTGAAATTACACAAAATTTCCGTTCTACATGGTTAGGGATATTCTTTGGGGAAACAATATATCTAACCCTGTAGGCTTAGCAGTCGAACAGCTCATCCGTGATATTTAAACTATAACAAGATAAAAATCCACAAAAAAATATGTTATTGATGGCAACGTACACAAGTACTTGCTTTGTTAAATTCGATTTTGGAACTGTCCGAAGAAATATTCCTGCAGCTGAAGTGGTCCAGTAAATGTTATTTATAAAGACATTTGAAATATTACGCCAATATAGGCCGTGACTGCAACGTCAAGAACGTTGATATTTTGACGGGCGAAAAAGCTGACCAATAGTTATCTACACTAACTGCAAACAACCTACTTCGTAATTTGACGTAAATCACTGGAAGTTAAGCCACCATAACTAGGATTCGAGCGAAACAAAAATGCAACCACTACGAGTATATATTAGCGTTATTTTACTTCCAGAACTATAAAGGTCTCGGCCTCTCACAGGCTTTTGACTTACTAATTAGACAACCCATTTTGTGTTGGATAGGTAGACCAAGGCCTTCACTGACTTAAAACCTTCGACGTAACGAAGGTAGGAAGGCACCTGAACAAACTTAGGTTATCAATGTAAGACGGAATAATCGTGACTAAAGAAGAAATTCGAAACGACTGGAATTTTATGGCACTATACAAGTACGTACTTGCATGATTTGAACTGCTTTTTGTGAATAAGATCAGAGAATGCGGTTCTAGGAGAAACTACAGCTCTGAACATCTCATGACATGAAACATATTAACGAAATAATCTGACAAGCAAATTTCTGGGATACTACTTATGTTGATGAACGTCGGGAAAACCCGAACCTCGTGAAATAAACACTTTATGCGTCAGTCTGGAGTAACAGTCAGGCACTTATACTTCCTCAAAGAGGTTTCAGTTGTGTGGAACGGTATTAATTTACCGAAATCTGGACCTACCCAAGCAACGACATTATAGTCAAACAAGGCGGTGACTGAGTGTCAACGAGACTTAACAAAAGATTTTCCATCCGATTTTCATAAGTAAGGTAATAGACAATTTTGTTTGTTTTGGTTCTTGTAAATGACAGTACGAAATGATATGACAATTTCTGAGAACTGTAGGTTTATTTATCTAACTAGTGTGTATTTTTTAAATGCTCTCAAATGGTTCAAATTATCCAAATGGTTCTGGATGGAATTGAAGAAGCTTTCGCTTAACAGCCTTCCGTATCTAGTAGCAGTGGATCACCGACACTTCTATGCAGGAACCTAGGTATATTACCGATAAAAGAGGAAAAAGAAAAAAGTTAGTAAGATACTGTCTGTAGTCTTTAAGAATATGTCAAGTTTTCTCTTTATAAGACTCCTGAGAAGTCACTTGTACTAGCTCAGCCGGCAGCGAATTCCAGTATTTGACTACTCTTAAGGAGTAAAAGTTGTGTTTACATTCCGTTCTGCTGAGTTGTGTCTCCAGTTTCTGGATTTTATCTCTGAGGTTTGTGTTCGAACTGAGCTTAAGTTGGTGTTTAGTGGAATGTCCAGAAGTGTTAAGGACGCTGTAATCAATTAGGTCAGCTGTAAGACACTTATACGCTGGTGAGTAAAGATTCAGTGATCGAAGTCACTTTTCAAAAGACTTGAATTTGAGTCCCGAAACTCATTTCGTGACTCACCGTTGGATATGCTCTTAAGTGTCATTATCCTTTTGGAGTGAGGGAGGAAATGCTATGTCTCCGTACTCTAAGTGGGAAGGAATGAAACTGTTGAAGACTATGTGGAAAGTTCTTGTGTCGAACTGGTCGAAAATGTGCTTCAACGTTTCCAGTATAGAGTTTGCTTTTTTTAACTTTTTTAACTTGGGCTACTTCTGGAGGGGAGTCGCACAAGTTGTAACTGTGGTCTACATGTCTAAAGGTCTACACTTTGAAGTGTTAACGGCAAGCCCGTTATCATATGCCCAACCTTGAAATCCAGTTGGATCCTCCTGAAGTGCTAGTTTATCCTCTTGGTTGCATACTTTCCTCCAGAATTTCATATCATTGGCGAAAAGCGGCAAATCTAACAATACCTGATGTGGAAGGTCGTTTGTATAAGTCAAGAAAAGAAGAGGATCTAGAACTGAACTCTGAGGGAACCCATCAGGACATTACATAGCCTGAGAGAAATAGAAGTTAACCCTGACCTGAAAATCCCGATTTTTTAGATATGAAAACAATCGGTCGATGAAAAGTGGTTTGATACCTAATCATTTGAGCTTATTGATAAGACATACGTGGTATGTAACGTTAACCTTACCCTTGAGTTCAAGGATGATTGTTCATATATCCACCTCAATCGGCAGGTTGGTTGTACAAGAAGGACGTTTACTGGAACCATGCTCCTGGGGTGAAAAGAAATTTATGAATAACAAATAGCCTTGCATGCTTTCGCATATCAGGGACTAGATAATTTTTGAAGGTATAGAGAGTAGTGCCACCGGTCGGTAGCTTGAAGGTCCTTTGAGTCGACCTCCTTGAAAATTGGTGTGATATGATCCAGCTTCCAAATCTCCGGTAATGTACCTCGGTTTAACGAGTGTGAGAACATTGCACTAAGCGGTGTTGCCAGGATTGAGGCTGCTTCCCTCAATATAGCAGAATGGACTATATTCGGTCCAAAATGTGTCTTTTTTAGGTGGTGCACTTTCCGGTACACCAAGCCAGAGCTCAGGCTCACTTGTGGGTGTCCTGTGAAGTTGCTGGTGAAGCTTTCATTAATATAGTTAGTGCGGGTCGGTTGAAATGTTAGAGAGCACTGTTCTGTCAGAAAGTCAGAGGCATCACCGTCGTTGTTGGTCGGGCCATTAGAACCCGGCAATTGAGAAACTCAGGTTTTGACTTGTCGAAGAGAGGTTGAATGACGGAACAAGCTTTTCTGACTGGCACCAAATTTATGAACAAGCTTTATCTGGTACTGAAGTTTGTCTTCTCTTATTGCCTTTATGCAACTGATTCTTATTTGTTTGGATTGCCTATATGTACTGTTGTTACCAGTATGTCTGTATTCCGCCCAGCAGTACCTTTCGAGGCTTGGAAAACGAAGAGTGTGGTTCTTGATGATTGTAGGTTGCTTGTAGATTTTGGGGATCGTTTGCCGAACAGATTGCTTTGTAGCACATAAGATCGTGTGCAGTAAGAAATCCCCATGAACATCCATACCAAGTTGATGGTGAACTTCCTAGTCCACCTGCTGTAAATTGTCCTATAAGGCTGACACATTCAACCGTTCGGAATTCCAATGCCTGTAGTGGTAGGATGTCTTGGCTCAGTTTTGTTGATAAAACTGAAGGCTGTGATGGCGTGATCGCTATTCCTCAGGGGAGCTGAGATTGAAAGGTTGTCAACTAGGAATTCTTCGTTTGTTAATACCAAGTTTAGGCGTGACAGTGTCTGACAGTTTCTCCAAAGAGTTGCTGACTTCACAGTTTCGAATAATTCCAGATCTTCAATGAGGTTGAAGAACCGAGCTTCAGTAGAGTTTTCACCTCTGGTGTACGTATGTTCCACGAAATTGACTTAAGGAAAGTCAAAGTCTCCTATAATCAGGATATGAGTGAACCCGAAATGAGTAGAGTGGGATAATCCTTCCAATATACGATTGTCGTACTCGTCCCCTAGATGACACAGGCTAGATACATTGAGATGGTCCTTAAATTGAGAGGTTATCTATGTTTCACATATTCCTATCAGTAATGTGTTATTAGCACCACCGGATTCATACTGCTCATCCATTTTATTTGATAAACTCGCGACGTGCACCATGAAATGCCTGATTAAGCTCAGTTCCAACTCAAGTCTTAGGAGTAACAGAGGGGAAGTAGAGTCACGATATAACAAAATGGACTGTAGACATCCACTCTGATATGCATGTACATCCAGCTGACGAGTTCGAAATGGGACGGAGAGCGCGTCCTGGATTCCACTGCTAGCCAATGTCCATCTTCGCTTATTAAGACCATTCTCTGGATCACCTTTATACATCTACGTTCACCAAATATTTGAAGGCAGTCTGAAACTCTGCAGGAGACGAGGAACCAGTCGTTTGCACATATGCCGCCGTCATGTCAAATCGGCCTCGTCTATTGAATGTTTCTAATACTTGTTGGACACCCACCAGTATTCGTGGGAATCCTGTACAACTTATTTTCAGACATAAAATTTATATCTAGGAGCTTGCTTTGAGAAAATACTCTTGGCTGTCCTTGAGACGACATTTTACCGCGGCACAGACGTCCACACACTTGAATCAATCCGTCCTTAGTCGCAGAACTTCAGTTTTTGTATTTGTCCTAAGACTTTCGAGCAGTGTTGACTAGTGATTGGGCTCACTTTCTTCGAGGTCTGCAATATGAAAAAGAGTTGGCAAAAAATATCCTTCTTTTACCAGCCCCGACTCCAACATGTCGTTATATCTACGATCATCTTTCCGTAAATAGTTTGACACGCACCATAGCTGCTTAAAATCTTACCCTACTTCTGAGCAAAGATTCTTGTAAAGGACGTCGATGTAAAAACATTACTTGAGTGATTTGAAGTTGACTTGTTTAACATTCAAAAATTGACAATGGCAGAATATTATTTCAGTGGGCAAAGCTTCTGAAGCACCGCAACTCAACAATTAGAAGATTCATTTTTTGCATTTCCATAGACTTTATAAAATCATTGCCTGTAAGTGATAATGTTTACTCTTGTGTCCCTGAAAAACTAATTGTACCGTTTTTCCGTGTTAGTGTTGAACACCGAACTACTATGTCTGATTTTATAGTTGATTATGCTTCGAATGCAGGTTGGGTGTTACTGAATATTTTAAAACCATGAAATCGTTCAAACTTGGCAATCGTTAGGAGAATCTTGGAAACTCCTCCCTGACAACTTGACCCATAAATCACTGATCCATCACTCACTCTTAGGCGCCGTAATGTTTTGGCCATACTAACGACAAACAAGGACAAACATGAATAATCTCGTTTAATTGGCACTACCGGTGTTTTTATGATACTGTAGGCCAAAATACTTCTGTAGATGAATATTTATACACGCGCTTCATTCGAGACTCGGCCACTTTAATAGTTCAGATCATGGGAATCAACAAACTACGTTGATCGACCAGAATTGGGGTTTATGGATATTGTGGTTATTTTTAAACAGCTGAACTTGTGAGTCAGCTGAAACTAGACCACCTTGGAAAATCCGTTCTGCCCCAGTATGGGACCCTTCAACGTTGCTCGCGAGACCGAAGGTCCTAGGTTCGAGTCCTGCGTACAACGTGTGTGCGTACTGCTGAGGAGTTCCACTGTAGAACTAAGAGGCCGTCCATTACTTCTAAGTTTTCCACGATGGTCTAGTTTTAATTGACTGATGAATTCAACTAATAAGTTGACTGAAATGAGAAACATTAAAATCAATATCCGCTGGCAAAATGAGACCCTTTGATGTGGATTCGTGTATAGACGTGTATGAGTACGTTTCGTATGACACCAATATTTTCCTCTCTTTGAATACAAGGTCACTAATGTCGGTGATTCATCTTCTTTAAACTGCGCTTAACTTTTCATTAGGGATAAGTTATTATTTATGATTATTTACTGATATATTTCTTCAGTTACCTTGCTTCTATCCCCGAGATTTTTTTGTCGATAGTAAGTTTTTCCAATAGGTCTTGTTATTCAAATGATGGTCATATTTCTTCCCGGGTTTCCATTAAAATTACAATTTAAATTTTTTCCATCTTTCTTTTATCTATAACTTTTGTATACGGTGTCTAGAGAGAGATATATTAGAAAGCGTCCAAGAATTCTTACTGAACAGACGTAATTGTTTGCGTTGTCAAGAGTTCTGAGTAATGTTTCCAGGAAAAGAATTACTACAACTGCGGTTTTCAAAATTACGTTTCCTATAATGAACTAAGTTAAATTGTTCAGATCATAATCTTATTCTAGTAGAGTTGATTGAGATTATAAAGTTGGT